ATATCTTTTGTGCATCCCGATCAACAAGGTCCTGCGGGTCGTATCGATGCGAGTGGCTTGGCCTGTGATCTAGTAGTACGTGTGTAATCCGCGCATCCGGTGGATTGCCAACAAAATCAAGTTTGTCTCACATCCAGTGATGCAGACCTTGGATTGTAACAAGTAGCCTGAAACTTTGACCTAGATTGGACCCATTGTAAGTGACTTGTCCTGATGAAAGGCTCAGCGTTTTTCATGTGCGAATTGAGATAATCTGCAAGAACGGCAGCCTTTGGACAGAATGTGGCATATCAGCGCGAGACTATCGGCCTCCTTCTGGTTCCATTGGGAATACCATCCGGGTGTTTCTCCAAATAGGGGGTCGCCTTTTTGAATGTTTCGAAGGGGCAACCAAAAAGAAACCAATCACCTGGAGGAATTGGTCTCGAATTTGAAGAAACACCCATGGATTTAGCCAGCGTTTTTGCAGGCCTTCTACGGCAACCGCTATGACCCGGCGAGACTCCTCAGCTGCAGTGTTCCGAAACCGCCACATTCAGTGGTCGAATGGGCTGCCCGGGTATGCATTAAAATAGGGATTTAGACTCCCAAAGTGGTGGTTGAATCCTTTTGGATTTGTCTTTACTGTGGGCTGAAAAGAGCAGCAAGAAGCACATACTTTGATTCAACATGGAAGTTTTGCAGATGTGATCTTTCACGGCAGCATGAGTTTGCCATGGGTCAACCATGGGCCATTCATCGCTGGGTGTCGCATCGGAGTTCCCGGCTCCTGCACAGCCTTGGGCCAAACCGTTGATTTGAACAGTCGCTGCGCAAGCCAAGCAAGATGTGCCTAGCAAACCAAGCAAGCCAAGGAACTCACCCGAACCTTGGAAGTGCCTTTCTCGACCTTTCTTTTTTTTGCTGTCCCGGGCTGAGAGCTGAGGCCTACGTGGCCCAGTGCCAAGCGGAGGCGAAGCGCCGAAAGATCATGCCCGGGGAGCCCAGAGAACGGGCCAAGATGAGTTGCTTTGGGCATTTGCCACAATAAGCATTTTGGCCCAATGCTGTGGATGCCGATATACGCATGCTCCCGCGCAGTTCTCAATTTGGTTGGCTTCTCCTACAAAGATGCATTTGTTTCGGCATGATTGATAAATATTGGTGGATACGATCTTGCTTTTTACATGAGGCAACCACCAGGGGAGTGTTGATCGCGGCGCGTTGTGTGCATGTTATTGTTGCTGCCTTCTGTTCCAATGCGAAGCCAGTTTCACATTGCACTGCCTAAACTCGCCGCCTCGCCATTGCCCAGCAGCACTGGGTTCAACCCAAACTCCTGCCGCTGACCCTTCCTTGGTCTTGACAATTGTCCCTCGAGTCTTCATGGCCTATGAGGTTCCCGAAAAGGAAAAGGTCATGGCCCAAATTTTGAAGGGAGACTTCAGGTCCTGTCACCTCTACCCGCCTCTGCCTCATTGATCCAAAGCCGCTTTGCGTCTTAGGCTTTTGGGCTTAGACCTTGACCTTGAGCCTTTCACAAGCCCCCCTACCGAGCTCACATATTCGGGGGAAAACGAGCTCACACGTGACGAAGGTCCCTGATCACACACTTAGAATCGGTGTTGCAGCGCCCCAGTTTGGAATTCTAGTCGTTTAGCCCCTGATAGTAGTTCGCCTAGATTCAGGGGTCCCTAAAAGGGCGGTGATCTCACTCGCTCCAAGAAAAATCATGTGTTCTGCAAATCCGAAAGGAACCCAATTGACAGATAGCTGGGGTCTCCTCCACAACTACTTGATATTTCATTGTAGACTAAATATGAAGCAGAATCATAAGACCTCATGTTTTGTGTACCCCTTGCGCCATTCGAAAGGCCCGGGTCCGCGCCTTTCGCGAGGAAGGACACGGAGGCCAAGGAGGCCAAGGCGCGCGCGGAGGCGGAGGCCAAAGACCGCGCGGCCGCGGAGGCCACGGAGGCGGCCAAGGCGGCCGCCGAGGCGGCCAAGGCGGCGGAGGCGAGAGGTCTGTGAGTTGGAGGGAGGGTGGCTGTGCGCTGGCATGGGCCCTTCCCAACATGGCACCTGACAGGGGGGTCCATGGAGGAAATTCGTCTTCTAGATACTAGTACCCTCCCGCAAATGCTAGGTACCCGATTTGAGAAACCATACGTCACAATGGGGAAACAATACAGCAAAGAACAAGCCAACCCATATTTGAGAATTGGCCTATTGTGTGACCAACGCACAGCTCAGGTCTCCTTAGATATATGCCGGCCGCAAAAATGATATCCTCAAAGAAAAACACAGACCCGTTTGTCCAAAGCGAGTGCACCTCTGAACCTTTTGAGGGTACCTTGTGCTGGGTCGATGTTTGGTGCCATCTTGAATCTTTGACCTGGACTGACATGATGAGAATGAAACATACTAAAATCACAGGCTTGGATCTGAACGTTGACTAAGTTTTCGGCACCCGCATTTGGTCAAGGTCCTTACTTTGTGGCAACTTGTGTAGACAAAGTCCCAGAGTAGATTGTTGGATTTCCAGGTTGGCACGTATTTTTGGGACGAAAAGCACTGACCTGAGGGGGAAAAACCCTTCGGCATCTTCAGTCTCCCAACTTTTGACTCCATTTTTTCCGACTTGTAGTTTTCCCCGCGTGCCTTCGGGGCGGGTGAGAGATCAAGGAGGCGTGAGGTTGACTGATGGAGAGTCAACGTGGAATCACTGTTGGACAGTGTGCACTTGGTGTACCAGATTGAACGAGTTTGGCCTGCTTGACATCAACCGCACCCTTTTTGAAGCCACGCCGTGCAATATCTGAATCTACCTTGATCAACTTGATAACCATCGTGAAACCAAGCTTAATTAAGTCGTCCCTGGTTGAGCATAGATACACCCGTAACTCAACACGTGTCCCGCATCTTCTTCCCTCATAGACGGCTTCAACACACTACATTGGTCATGCATCCTTCATTTGCCCAAGACAGTGACGTGATCCATTTGTGTCAATGGTGCGATACCTGCTTGTAGTCGAGCCTCTTGTGGTCGAGCACCCATGTTTTTTTCCTGGACAGGATGGGAGCAAGATGGATGTGGATGGAAACCACACGGAGGCGGGGGAAGGGGGGGTGCGTGGATCTTGGATGACCAGCCTAATGCTGCCCCCGGATGAAGCAAGCTCGTGGATGATTGGGGATGTTCCCCAGAAAAAGTGATGGCCTCCCTTCAACTTTTATCAATGAACTGAGGTTTATGATTATTGTCTAATGCCGGGTTCCCATTTATACATACAGATGTGAGTGTATAGTGTATATATATATATATACACATTTTTACGTATTATTTGTTTTGTAAGTCAGAAGCATCGGCATCGGCAGTCACAATACTAAAAAAGAAGCGGTGCAGAAACGCAATTTGTTCAGGGGACGTTGTGAACAGTTTGCTTCGTATGTCGTTTCCATTCAGGCTCCAAGACAACCCATGAACTAAGCGGACCCAACCTTCATTGTTTGAATCAGAGTTGCTCGCGAGCCGTCATCCCTGGATGCACAGTTTTGCAGGGGTGCAGGGGGCCATATAGTCTGTGCTATTGCCCGACCGAATCGCAGGCGCAGAAGACGGACGAGAAGACGGAGGCGACGAAAGACGAGAAGAAGGACTGGGCGTACCGGGTGCGACAGAACCAACACTGCTCGATTTCCCGAATGGCAGCGTCAAGGGGCAACATCTCACTTCTGCCAGCGGACGTCCGACAGCATTTGAGGCTAGTCATCCAACTTCAATTGGGCCGTAAAATAGGAGGACCCCCCCCCAAACAAAAAAATGTGTTCCCTTTGGTTGCCCTCTAGAAACCATCCCAACGGAGTGCCCTCAAACAAAAACACCACCCCCCTTCCCCGCCCCCAAATAGTGAATTTGGAGAACCGTGATAGCTATGTCCGCTTTGAGGCCTTAACCAGCATGCACAGAAATCGTAGTGACCATGGCATGCAGTTGATCAGCCTTGCGACAAGTAGAGACTCAACGAGCTGAAAAGCTGGATCCCGTGTGCATCAAATTGCAGAATGGCTCGCAGCTTGTTTCCTCCAGGTTTCGCATGTTCAAATCTTGGTAATTATTAGACTTATTGGATCCTTTGGTTACCGTGCTTGCTTTTGTATTTGGCTTTGTTTGCAGGGCACCTACTATCCTTATGCCTGTGTTCCTCTCTCTTTGGAAGTATTTGTGAGTATACGCAGATGTCTTGGACAGACCCTAGAATCAGTTGTCCTGATTTCGGGTCCAGGATGAGCAGCCTGCACGGGTGCCAAACACCTTCACGGAGTTTGATGAGGCGCGCTGGCCGGAAGAGAGGACTTGGCTTGTCACAATGATAATCTGGGTTAGATAGAGATTTGAACAGGATAGTCCCCGCCTGCACATATGTTAATACCAGGCTTCCGTTACGGCTCAGTGAGAACTGACAAAACCATTGATAGTGTATTGTGAGTTTAGGAACGACATCGCGGCGTCCGGCTGCTAGCCTCATGCCATCTTACGCCTACGCAGAGACCGAAGTGACGCCAGGGGGACCCACTCACTTTGTCCATGTCCTCGGCAAAAAAGGCCCTCGAAATCCACCAAATGGTTCAGAAAAACCAAGCGACACACGATGGCATCTGAAAAGACAAGCCCACAAACCCTCTAGTGTTTGCAGCTCTCAAATAATATTCTTCATGTTCTTGGCTTGAGATGCAACTACTGTATTGGGCACATTTCATGATCAGTGCCGAGTACAAATATAATGCCCCGTGTGTACCTTGCCGGGTACTTCGCTGGCAGCAGCAATGCCTTGGGGCAGAATCCTTGTTTGTTGGTGTGTATGTGCCACTGTCAAACATGAGTCCAAGAAGAGGCCACAATCTTGCCCTCCTACTCATAATATAAACGTATGTAAGCCACATCTTGTTGCTACGTGGATTCCTGCAGGTAACGCAAGAGGCGCAAATGCCAAGATTATGAATAGGCGTGGACAGGCGCGCCCAACGTGTACGCTGCGATGTTGCGCGTTACTTTTTGGAAAAGGACATGGAGCAGGAACACACAAGAAGTCGCTAATGAGTTTGTTTCGCCGCCATCCGAAGGTAATTCCACTTGCGTTCATACCTCTAAGTTGCATTTCACGAGTTAAGTTTCAGAAGTTTCCACATCCAGCCAGGCTGTTTGTTTGTCGCAGTAAGTTTCACTCAACCATACTCAACCCCTTCCACAAATATGCTGCGAAACAGTTTGGGCTGGAAGGGGCTGCGTTTCATGAATGAGCTACTATGCCCGTCCCTTTATTTATTTCGCAGGTCTGGCATTGTCGACTTAAAGGAACTCTTTTTCTTGGAACAGATTCACAACAAAATTGGTCAACCCCGAAATACCCATTGAAAATGGTCAGCCCCAAAACAAGCACGGTCCCCTTATTCCTTTGCCCGCGCCGCTGGTCGCAATGTGGCCCCGCCCTTTTGCACCCAGTCCTCCATGGGGGATCCGCCCATTGCCGAGCTCACGGAGCAAGAGCTAGGCGCGCCTGCGCGGATTTCATGCGGTGCTTCGCCATGAGAACGGCCCCTTGTTGCCATTTCACAACCGATTTCAACATTCCCCCTCCCTGGACCAATTTTAGCGGATGTTTCTTGGAGGTTTAATAGGGACATATTGGGAGCCCTGTGAGACCATGATCATGGGGACCCGGGATGAGTCTCGCCTTGCGGGAAACGTCGTTGAAATACTGCGCCAGGTTGATTAATCCGGGAAGTAGTTCTAGTGAACCATCCAAGTTTCTACTAGTTCTACGGGCCTGACGAGTGCTAGTGAGTGAGTATTATATATACCCATTTCTTTGAGCACCACTTGCTGGCTCTGGTTCCTGGGGTTTTGGGGGTTTGGAAAGAAGGATCCTTGAACACAATGGGGAGTTACCCTTGGATGGGGTTTTGTTAGAAGGCTTGGTTGTTCTGGGTTCCTCAGTTGTACCAGGGTTTCTGAGCCTTTCCTGCGCTCCCCGGGGCCTTGTACCCGGCCCCAGCCCAGAAATGAAACAAACGAAGAAAGACTTTGATGTCTGCCCGGGCCATGACTCAACTTTTCCACTTTTTGGTATCCGGGCATCCCAAAGTGAGGCCAAAGAACAAGTTGATACGTAACTCGATGGGAAGCATAAATATACGTAATGACATATACTGTATATGTACATATATATACATATATATCTATAGAAAGTCAAATAATTAGCAAGTTGAGCATGGGTGGGGGGAGAAGGCGGGGGCAGGGGGGTTTGTGATGCTTGATAAATCTGCCTAGCAAGCCCGGCTTGCGTTTGTCACTTGTGCTGGAGCTGCCGAATTGAAGCTCATGGGTCTAAGCAGTGGTGCAAAGAAAATTCTGCGACATAGCGAATCATGTCACGTTTAAACATGGATCACTTGGAAGAATCCAGCACCGTGAGCAAATCACGTTTCAGAAAGCAGCTTTAGGAATCGCACAGCCCGCACCTCCAAACAATGTTTCACGTGAGGCAGCCTGTGTGATACCACGGGTAGTTGGAAGAAATCAGCTTTAAGAGGACTGACACCGCCTTCAAGTGGGAGAGAGTCTGGATGTGGTTTTCCAAGTGGTTCATATTGCAGGCCGGTCAATTGATGTGCGACTGTGCAAGGTGGGTGGACTTTTGTTTGACTATTTCTGCTACTTGCCGAATTGAATAGCCTTGCAACTCTTCTATCTGCGCACGAGAACACGTGCTAATCACTTGGTTCACGCTTTGTTCTTGTTTTTTTTTTTTTTGTGGGGATGCTTCATTCTGAACGGATGTTGCTGGAGCCGTCTTTTCCTAAGTGTTTTTTTTTGTGCCAGGGAGCTAGAGCTTAGCAGGCGCGTTGCCTGTCTATCTTCATCAGCCGTTGGTTCATCGGGTCGCTCTGTCCGAGTTAATCGAGCCAAAGCGGTTGCTTTCGGCCGTTTGTTTGCCTCTCCTTAGTGGTCTGGAAATAGAAAGGATGAGGCCAGATAAAACCAATTGATATATATATATATACATACATAACAATGAGCAAATGGATACAAAGGCCAGATGAACCTTGTATCAACTATTTGAAACTTGATTGGTACGTATACTGCAATCAACTCGGGTTGGGCGTCTTGGCACTCAAATCGGACACACCGGCCAGGGATCTGGTTTCGGAGGGACAGCGTCCCGGACGTCTCCCCCTTTGTGCAGCGCCGCCTTGTCTTAGATTGGCTAGGTATGAAATGAAACCACAGCCGAGATCCTTCGGTTTCAGCGACATATATATATATAGGGGGATGGTATGGGTGCTACTCTTCTAACAGCACACCTCAATGTGGGTCCTAGTTGAAGTTGAAGGGCGTTAACACTAACACGGGGATGACCCGCAAGCCAAGGGGGCTCGTGGGCCTTGAGCCTTCCAAGAGCAGCAGGTTTCCCATCATGTCATAGCTAAGGCACAGCAAGCGGTTTCTGAACATTTGGCCTGTTATTTTTCAGCATATTGACTGGTGGTTTGGATTGGTGATTTGCCCAGCCCCCCATCCAAACCGCCGATTAGAGGGAAGCTGAGTCTTGGCAAATGGTAAGGCCACACTACTTGCTCGAATACGCCCTTAGTTGGTCTCGTTGCTGCGCTACCAGTCTGGGTACTGGTGTACAGCTTTTGCGCCCTTGTTTTATTTCTTGTGATCCAGCAGGGGATTGACATTGACGCAGTTGTGGACGACCAATGCGCTGGAAGATTCACAACTTTGCAACCCTGAGTGGTCAATCTGTTAACTGTTATCTCCCCAAAAGCCACTTGCTTCTTGCCACGTGAGACATGCGTGCCTCTGTTACGACACCTGGCACGCATTGTGGAGTGGATGCCCCCCTCCCCGCCCACCCGGGAAGAGAAAACAACATGGGTGTAATCGCACGAGTCTGTGCAGCAGGGAAATTGTTTGGATTGGCTATTGCAATTACAAAGATCAGGGGAGTTCTTGGAGAATCACGGGGCCAAACACTGAGATGGATAAGGAAAGAAGCTAAGTGGCCATGATGCTGTCGATGGACAAATCCGTTTCGCACCGGTTGGGCTGGATGAATCCTTATGACCACTGGGATAAACCACACATAGCCGCTGTTCTTTTGCTGTTCTGGATTCAGCAGGCGCACCCTGCTGTGAGAATATTGAAAACACCGCTGCAGCAGTGTGGCTTCTTCATGTTTGTCACGGACTCCAAGCCCGAATGCATCAAAGGACCAGCAAGTATGGGTGTGTATTCAAATGGGGGCACCCAGAATGAGCGGGTTCTTCCCAGAATGGGTGGTTTCTTGTTGGCTTCCCTTTAAAACCACCCTCAGAAAAAACAACCCCATATTTGTTGGCTTGGAGATCCCTTCGACCAACCAGGGCGCATCTGGTTGGGTATCCGTTCTGGGTTCCCCCAGCTGCTTCATTTAATTACAGAAGGAACGTTTCGGGTGTGGGCCCAAAAAACTCAAGCCGCTGGTTTGGGTTGTTTCGGAGTTTCCTGCAAAGAACATGTTGCTCTCGCACATTTGTATTCGTAGTATGTTCTGGAACTTTTCGGTTTAGTGTTCCGAGTCTGTTGGGCAAGCAAGGGGTACCAATGCCCGCCTGAACTCAAAAGTGGTCACGATGTTTTGCGCTTTATTTTGAAGATACCCTCGGATGAGAATGGTTCGGAAGAGGCGGCGTTTGCACCTCACCAGAGCATAATTTTGAAGAGATCCGCAGGCAAAGCATCATTAGTCATATTAGTCATTGTCCAACGGAGCACATGAGACCGGGACAACGGCATCATAAAGCAGAGTCAATCAATGTATGACGATGGTTGCAGTCGCCCTTGCAAACGGACAACGATAGGGGACTTGCAAAACAACACATAGGCTAAGCGTAGTTTTTACCGTGGATTACAGACTAGTTTTTCCTTTGATAGGTGGTGACCAACTTATGTGATTCCTGCATCCTTTGATATTCTCTTGCGAAAGCCATGTATTAGACAGATCTCGCTAGATTGGAGTGACAGCCCACATTGTGCTTGAGCTGATGAACTCTGCTGCCGAGGCCTTTTTCTCCTCTAGGCTTCATCAGCAGTTAAGTAGCGTTTCGACTTTCCAAGTCTTTAATACTATAGGCACCATCTGATAAGATCTACCTAAGGAACCAGGAACCTGCGAATGTGTCGGTCCCCTTGAAGAAACCTGTTTTGGGGTTCCTCGATGGTTTTTGGTTCCCCAAACCCATGATCCTTTCCGTGAGTCCGCTGCAATCGCGTTGGGTGCCAGGCTGGGCAACTGCTTGGCCAGCCTCACCACCCCCGAGAAAACCGAGGGCTTCGAGGAGGCATTGAATTGGGCGTGTTGACCCCAAAGCTAGCTGGAGGGAACAACGGTCTGGACGGGTGTGTTTGTGTGTGTGTGTTGTTTTCGTTGGGACCAGCTTTTTTGACGTTTGCTAAATGAAAGCCAAAGGGAACACCCTTCCATTTTGCGGGGCCGTTTGTGAAGACACGCCCATATACGTATACAAGCATATGAGCCAAGTGTGGAACGGGCAAATGAATTGCACAAGCGACCAGGTGTCCTTCAGCTGGCGACCGGAGGAAGAAGCCAAAGACTACGTGAAGCACGGGGCCTGAGTCCTCCTTTTCAGACACCGCAAGTCAACCGTGGTTGGACTCCAAAATCGGAACTTGGTTCTCCACCGGTTTCGAAATTTAATCCTAGCAGTTGAGAGATATTTCGGGTTTTTTGGGAAGGGTGGGGTGGGAAGAGCTTGAGATTTGAACCTGGGAAGAATGAGGGGACCGGGACCACCCCTCCCTTCAAAGGGTCCCTACACACGTTTCTGAAGATTCCACAGATTCAAAGGGGTCCAACTTTGGTCAACCAGTGTTTGAAGCATTGGGGGTGTGAAAGGGACATTTCGCGGAGTTTTCCCTTCAGGAAGCAGGGTGCCCTCTCTCCCACTAACATGGCACATGACAAGGGGTTCCTCCAAGAGGAAATTGATTTTCCAGGTAGCCTCCCACAGGTGCTACGTTAGTGGGAGAGGGAGGGTGGTCTTTGTTCAACCTGGACAAATGTATGGCCCGGAGGTGTAAGTTTCGGCCTTATCTCGAACTGGTCGCAAAAGGGTCAAAAGGACCACGTCAGGAAGTGGGTGAAGGAGAAGAAGATCGACACTCGCCTCGAGGACTTAGAGCCTTCGAACTGGCCCGAGCCTCAAAACCGGGTGGGCCAGTGGGTTTCGACATGGACTTAACTGCCCTTCTTGCGCTTTTGCCCTTTTGAAGGCTTTGTATGTTTCCTTTCCAGCAACAAAATTAAAGTTGTTGGCAGAAGGGCAAGGTGTGGCAAAGTCAGAACCCCCCCAAACATGGAATTGGGGATTGGGAAGACTAGAAATGGAATTGCCCCGCACCCCGCCCCCCTGAAGGTAGGGAAATGTTCTAACCAAAAACACGGTGGGTTCTGTCTTGCAAAACCAGATGAAAAAGCTCTGGGCTCCAACTTGAATCCCACAATGTCGGTTCTCGGGTGGAAGGGCGGCAGTTGATCCTGGGTGAAGCATTTTATTAATGACTCATTTGATTGCTCCAGTCGTGCTTGAAATGACTGAACGCGGCACCCCAGGCACCCCCCATCAGCATGACGACGAGTGCCATGCTCCATGTGACGCCGTTGCAACGCTGAGGTTCCGGGAGAGGTGGCAAGTCTGGCCACGCTGGCATGTGAACTCGAGCAGAGTTTGCAGGTTGCCTTGCAGCGGGGCCCTGCAGCCTGGCCCTGCAGCCTAATCTTGCGACTTGCTACGTGACCGTTGTGCGGAGTAACATCAGGACCAAAGGGACAACTTTGTCGAACCACTATTCACAAGTTACAGTGACTACGGCGTCAAGAAGACTGGCCAACTGTCCCTTGGGAATTCGCAAGCACAAAAGTGAGTTGAGCCTCCGGCGGTTTTGAAACTCACTCCCTGAGTTGCTGGACTTCATACTTGTTCGAAAAGACCATTTTCGTGGCACACAACAGTTTGAACTTGTTCGAGCCAATCCACTAGATAGGAAGTTACAACTCAAAAGCCGGTTGGTTGGCCATTTGCCATCTACGTGCTTGGATCCAAGCAAGGTTGGTGTCCTTTGTCAAGTACGCTGCTTACCTGTTGACCCCCTGAAGAGATGAAAACGGTGCAGAAACTCTTAGCAGGGAGAGGCAAGGGCTTATTCTTCAGGCACGCAAGAAACTTGATGCTTTTACACCTCAACAGGTGTCTGAAGAATCTTGGCATGTTCTGCCAGCAGAAGGTCTTCTGGTCTTCCGCTGTTAAGCCCCCGGTGGATGAAACCCGGACATGTGTAGGGCTGAGTTGTTTTTCAAAGGCTGAGATCGGTCTACGTAGGAAGTGATGGATTCTGCCTTGGACCGATCCTTGAAAGTGGCAGAATCAGCTCAACTTGTGAATGCCAGGGACATCACCAGAGCCTGGCCTCTTGTTACCCTGCGAGTTTGAGATTTCATCATCTGCGCTAACTACCTCTCGTATGCTCTGCAGATGTGTTTGGGAGTCTCCATGGTGCTCGTTTGGCCAGGCAAACAGAGCTGCAGACATGGCAGCGAAAACAGGCGGGCTAGCAAACTGTAGGACAGTGACTGCTGGTGGCGCTGTGCACGTGTTTCACGCAGTTGCAAAGGTCGGTGGGGTCATTTGCTCACTTCAAGTAGGCCCAGACTGCAAACAGCGAAAATGGGAAGGTATCCATGTCAGAGAGCACGGAGGCCGTCATGGTCTTGGTCCATTGCACATGAGTGCTCACAGTGTAGAAGTGCTTGAATAACGGGATTGGTGGCATACCTTTGAGACCTTTGAATTCCCTGGCTCCGCCTGTCCCCTAAAATGGTCGTAATCTTTTGGTGTCCCTTTAAACATCAACAAGAAGGGTTCCACTATTTTGAGAAGGCGTTGTTGCAGGTTTAAACCTAGATTTAAGCAATCGGTGCGTTAGTGGCTGACGTTTGCTCAGTGGCTTCAGCCGCTAACGCACGTACCTCGTCAGGACGGATGATCTCTTGAACATTGTGCCCTAGTAGTGGTGCTCGCATTTGATCTGTACTATGGTTGAACATATCGTTGAGACAAGGTACCAGGGCTCTGAAAGTACTGTACTGTCTTTATATATATATATTATATATATATATATATGCTGCATGCCCTAAGCATCATCGGACCCTCCATTGGAGGGGTTGGAATCTCCATTTGGACGGTCTTGTTGAGGACCCAAGCCTTTTTGGTATTACTTTAGTAAATGTGTTGTACGGACATCCACCAGTTCGCCTAGTTTGACAATTGCACCTCACCAGCGTGGGATTCTGACTTTTGAGGAAGCTGTCACATAGCCACCCTACCACTGGGCCCATTTTGACGGCTTCTAGGGTATCAAAGTCAGACACGTGGTTTCCCTTCAAGCACTTGCACAACTTGGATAGTGGTAAAGAATGGGGTCAGTGCCAACCACTCCCTCAATGTGCCGTTTCCACAACATGAGGCGGACTCAAATATGAGGCCTTTTGCTGGGCGAATTGTTGCAAACCAACTCTCAGAAAGAAAAACAAGACGAAAAAAACAGACCTGATTTCAGCTTGGTGAATGGGCGCAAATGGCCAGGTTGAGTACAGGGAGAAGCAGCAGATGATGGCCATGCAGCAACAGCAGCAGCAGATGGCGCAGCAGAATCAGATGGCCAACGGGAACGAGACGGCGAGCCAGACGAACCAGAACCAGAAGTCCAGTACCGCAGGTATCTTGGCGGAATGTGGCGATGTTTGTTTCATGGTCGGAACACTCAAAGAATGGCTGGTGGACATCAATGTCTGTGTAAATCATTTCCACCAAAGGGTCCTCGATTCATGCTAGATTTGTTTGTGGGCTGCCGGCAATTTTGTCATTTGTCTACCATTGTTCATCCCGCTAGGCTGTGGCTACTAGCAGAGAACCATTCAACTGACCCCGAAAAAACCCACGGACCAGTGTTCTCCATATGGGTCCATCCAAATAGTGGAAGAACAAGTGATATTGTGTGCGTGTCTGTGGCATGTACAGCTGAAAGATTTGATTCTTCTTAGCGCAAGTTTGCCTCGGCAATGCACAGGTCAGACAGACTTCCACCTGAAGCGTGCGTCAATCCTTTCCAGGCTACTCTTGTCTTTTGTGTGTGGGGGGCTGCGTGGAAAACCTAAAGGATCTCCGCCCCATGGTGAATTATGATTTATGAGGGTACCCTTGTTGGGTTGGCTTAAAACCAAAGTCAAAAGGAGCCCAACGGGGTCCCCCGAGAGAGACGGTCGGAACCACGGGCCATCTGAGGCGAGAACGGCGCCGCGGAAAGCCAGGGCGCCGGGTTTCGGTGGCGGCGATGGTGGCCTGTGTTTGCGGCTTATTGACATATTCGAACTACTAGTCGAACCAAACCAAAGCACCAACCAGAGAGGGAAGCTAAAGTAAGGGTCCTTGTCCTTCTCCTGGCGATCGTATTGGTGGTACAGGCGACGCTAGCAGTTTAGTTTGTTCCTTCTTGAACATGAAACAGTTTGCAGCATGGTATTGAAGCCACTGCATAAGACTTTGGAGGGTCCACTATGAGTCCTTTGACCACGGGACGAAGTGTAGCTTGTCAAGCATGCTTTTCGGAAACAGTCTTCCAGCGCCCATTTCGGTGTTCATCCTGTTTAAAATGATGCAGCAGTCATAGGGATGGCCCTTTTCATATCAATGCAGAAGGGTTTTTTGTCCACAGCCATGTTGTCAAATCTGATGGCATCCCATTGTCCAGCGAGTATGCACTGGCTCAGCTCACTTTTGTGTTCGCTCGTTTGTGTGTGTGTGTGTGTGTTTGTGTGTTTGTGTGTTTGTGTGTGTGTGTGTGTCTGTGTGTGGCCGCACAGTTGCGTATAGTTTGCTTGCCCCCTCAGTGTGTGCGCATCGTATGTGGTGTTGTACCAATGTCTCCTGGAAAAAAGCAATAGTTGAGCTGCTGGTGGCATTTGGTGCTTCATGTGTGTTGTAAAAATGCACAAACCAATGGCACACGGTATTCACGATACGGGACTGGTAAAAGGGAAGATGCGCCCTGAACGGAGCTAGAACCTTGGACAACTACCATGTACGTTATGTAAATGTGTGTATGTATATGGCATGTATATATATATATATATATGATTATGTATATATATATATATGCATATATATATGCATATATGTATATATATGTATATATATATATAACAACAACTCCAGCGTTGTCCCAATACTCTGAGATGCATGCAAACTCTGTGAGATGGCAGATGGTGACATCGTTGCGCACATTTCGGATGGATGTAGTTTTGTATATATATATATACATACATATATAGTATTATAGATATACATATGGGACCCCCCCGCCCCCAAGTTTGCCACAAAATCAACGAGGCAGACAAGGCATAAAACACTGGAACAAAACACAGCTCAAGCTCACCAAACCAGGGTCCATGGGGGGGGGGGGTACCAGATATGTATGCATATATATATATATAAATGCAGGCATACACACATACTTTTACATGCATGCATGCATGCATGCATGCATGCATACATACATACATACATTTTATCTTGTTGCATTGCATTACATTACATTACATTACAATACATTACATTACATTACATTACATTACATTACATTACATTACATACAGTACACACTTGATAATCATTGCATACATTTAATGCATTAGACAGTACATACATTACATACACAACGTATATATCATACATTTCATACATATCATACAGGTCATACATAGCATACAGAGCATACATACCATACGCCTCATACACATACATACAAACATACACATATGCATATGCATGCCATGCCATACGTGTACACATATTTAGGTATTTGTACATATATATATATATATATGTATTTATTTAGAGCGCGTTGCTCAGAAAACGGCAACTTGACCTGTGCAACTGCATTATATTCCAGTTACTCACCTTGCATGCATCCTGGGTCTGGTTTAATGCTGGGTGTGCTTGAATATGAGCGCCCCCCCCCCCTTTCCCCCCACAGAGTCAACAGTCATTTGGGGCCTCTTTAGTCGGACCGGGGGGGGGCCTTGGGTTGAACTTGGACTTGCCATTGCCTCATTTTGTAGTGCCAATTCTGATTTAGTATTGCCAAGACTTGATCTCAGATTCCTCGTACTTGCCTTAGCATTGCCAATTCCAAATTTAGCATTGTCACCTGATTTCAAATTCCTCATTCCTCGCACTTAATTTAGCCATCCCTGATTCATTGATGTGTAAAGTCAGATATCATGATGGGGCTCTCCAAAAAGGGGGGGGGCAACTGTGAGCATGTGCACAGTTTGTGCACTTTGGAGTTCAAAAAATGTAGTATGTGCGGGTGTATGTGTCCATTTCAAGTATTGGCGTGTATGTGTGTGTGTGTGTGAATTTACTTTGCTAGGAAACATTCAAGGATTTCAGTTAGTCAGACTTAACAAGTTCATTTATTGGTTCACATGCTTATTTTATTGATTTGGTTCCATTCAGCGATATATATATATATATATGTTGCATTACTTTAAGCAAAGGCAACAATCATGTTTGTCAGCAAAGGTATCAGCTTGTGTTGCCTTTTTCCTTCCCGTTTTGTTTCTGTTTCATTGTGGCGAATAGAGGGGGCCATTCAAGCATAGGGGCCGCCCCATTTTGGCCTGGCCACCCCAACCGGAAGGCTTCGCTTGTCCTGAGCGACAGGTGCCGAGGACAAGCCGAAGGAGGGGTCCGAAGGAGAAGCCAAGACAGAGCCGAATGAGGCGAAGGAGCCGAATGAGGCGAAGGAGGCGAAGGAGGTGAAGGAGGTGAAGGAGGTGAAGGAGGTGAAGGAAGCAGAGCCGAAGGAGGAGAAGCCAAAGGAAAAGGAGGTTCCGTTGGGAGCTTTGAGAAATGTTTGCATTTGAAGGTTCACTATTGCATTCTTCAACTATGGACTAAATTTAAACATGTGTTTGGTTGGCGAAAACCTTTCGGTAGCTTGGGCAAAGAGGGCACCTTTGAGTCTCCTGGCTTCAGCCCTATCCACCAGATGTTTATCACACGCGCACAAATTTCTTAGGGCATTGTTGACAGCTGACACCACGATGAGCGGCAGCTTGCTTTTGAGATATGATATGATTTCGCTGAGATTGCAGGGCACTGCTTGAAAGCTCGAGAGCATTGCAAGGACACGGTGCAAATTGTAGTTTTCAACGGGCAACTGCTGAAGCAAGCATGTTTACTGTTATGTCACGAATTAAGATGCAGGCACAATTGCTAGACTCTTCCGTATTGCGCGTCGGTGTTTCTATTTTGCAGCACATGTCCAATACTCTGGGATCACGTGAGATTTGCACACAACTCGGGGAAGAGGCATGTTCTGGATTGCAGAAAGCAAACAAAGTGTTGGCAGGCACCAAAGGAAGAGGAGGAGGATCCGGAGATGAAGCAAGCCATTGAAGACTGTCGGGGCCCTGGTGAAATGCAAAATCCCAGAGGCCATTTGCTCAGGTCAGCAGGTATTTTGGTAATCCACGATCGGGAGGGCGCATGACCATTTCTGTTTTTTCTTGGACCTTGGTTCATGTCCAAGACGGGCTCCTGTGATCACCGGCCCCTCCAACCCAACCAGGAAACTGTGGCACAAAGCCTTTAGTTGGTACAAGAAAGCGTGTACAGTACATGGGGTTGGATTTCATAGGGGCAAAGTCAGGTATTTCTCATGTGTCTCCACTTGAATTCATATTTGGTGTCCATTGGTTTTCATCCAACCACCAACTAGAAGGGGTCCACTATTTCAGCAGCATTCACAATACCTCAGGGAACCCAGAGAACAAACTCATGGCATCTGAAAGGAACCTGTGTCAAGATAGAGGGCCCCCAAAACGAGCGTTTTTGATTTTGCTTTTCCTTCAAATTGACCCCAAAAAGGATACCCTCAAACAAAAACATGTGTTACAATGCATTTACCGGCGCTGAAATATGTAGGGAAAAAGGACAAACATGTCCCGAGGTGCCGACGTCTTACAGCAGCTCAGAGAAGAGATCGAGCTGCAGGATACCGACGTCTTTGCCGCATCTCGGCAGCTGCCGAAGGCCGTAAGTCCCCGTTTGAATTTGGACCAACCGCCTGTTAGGACATACCCAGTCGTTCACGGAAATTAATCACTGCGGTAGGTAACCAGCCATTGTCTCTTTGGCATTAAAAGGGTGGTTTTTGTGGATACAAATATACAAACTGTACAGGCAAATGGAATCACTGGAGACTTAATTGAATGCTTAGTGAAAGTTGGATGGTGGATCTCCCATTCTTCTCACCACTTGTGAGAAAGCGCTAAAATTCCCAAATGAGTATAATGAGTCTGACCATTTTGGACAGACGGCCATCAAGAATCGGGGAATACATCTAGCTTTGCTGCTGTTTGCCGGTCCGCAGCAAGAGAAATTGTTGCAGCTAGGAAAAGCGAACTCGACCATGTGGAAGCTCGGTTTTCAGAGATCCGCTATTCTTGCTCGTAGTTCGCAAATGGACACCGTTGCTCTTTTATGCGGATCTCTTGTTTTGTGTTGGGTTGATGTAAATGTAGACCATAGAACCGGGGAAGGTGGGTCCACAAGGGCTTTGTTTCATTCGTTGCCTTGGCAAGCTTGGTCCCGGTCGACACACACACACACACACACACACACACACACGCACACACACACACACACACACACACACCGCAAAGACTCGGCGGCACCCTTGGGCTTTCTGGATTTTTTTTTGGACACTGATATGTGCGTATTTCTTAAGGATATTTTGGAGGGCTTTACAGGAAAACAACAGGAGAACACCATGGTGCCCCTCTTTTGACACAGGCCCGCTTGGACATAACATGGGGGGCCTGTGAAGAGTTCAGCTTGCGGAAGTCTCAAGGATATTAACACCATAGTTGGGAGCGTGCTTCTTTCTCCCTTCTCCCTCTTTTTCTTTTCCTCGTTTGTGTTTTTCTTTGCGGCCTTTTTCTTTCTGTTGTTTTACTCTTTGACTCCTTTTTCCCTTTCTTCTTTCTCTGTCTCTCTCTCTCGCCAGAAAGTGGAAGGTTGACCCCGAAGTGAACCGTCGGTAACAAGGAGTTGAGGATCAACCCACCCAAAGTTCGCAGAGGCTGGCGGCCGAGCCAATGGGCCCGTCTCCGACACCGTTCCGAACACGCTCCGAGACCGCCTCCGTACAGACTTCGAGACCGAGGTGGTTTGACCACCTGCGGAAGAGCTGAATTCACGCACAGTGCCACGTTTTCGGCCCGCTTCTACTCCCCAGTTCTCGCGTTGTCCAGTACGTATGTTCGTAGCTTTTTCGCGAGCGATGCAGTCTTTCAGGATCACGCGCACGTGCATAGCTAGCCCAATGAGATCCAGTGCTACAGCAGTTCTTTCGAATAGGTTTCCTCTGGTAACTCCCCTGCTGCTTCTCTTAGCAGGAGTTAGCACACCTTTGATGCATCTATTCCTCATGCATTGTAAGAGCTTCGTGCCCGCCTCGGCCAATCCGCTTTTGGCTTTGCGTTATTAGACGGAGTGAGTCAGCGCCGAAATGCGTGAGATGGTTTCGGGGGCCGAAGCGAAGAACACTCCATGGCTGCAGGACAAATTGGCTTAAGCTCGTTCTTTGAGCGTCTTTGACTGCTGCCGGGCATTGAGCATGTGTACCCTTAGAACATGATCATTCTCTCTTCGGACACACACACACACATACGCACACATACGCGCACATACGCACACATACGCACACACGCGCACACATAGACACAGAAAATAGGGTGACTCATGACCAGAATGTGCAGAATGACAGCTTTGGCCATGAGCTCCTTTCCCGGACAGCTGACATCATTCGTTTGTTTCCGAAACCTGTGTAAACTGAACACACCCATCTCGCCCCAAGCAAGTCCTTTGGCTGGGGGCGGCCTTGGGCTGGGGACGGCTTCACCGAGTTGGCTGGCAGCCCAACGCCCAAAAGAATTTCACCCATTGATAGCTGTTCGTTTGGGCACTAGCCAGGAAGACATCAGCGCCATTGTATCAGTTTAGATATTGGAACGTCGAACATATGCAGACCCTGGGTTGGTACTTGGGCTGCTTTGAAAAAGGATCCAGAAGGCTTAGCCCTTGTGAGGAGGCTACACGCTTGCGCCTGCGAGGGGATGAAGTTTTGCTTCCACTCGGATCGGGGGCATCCGCATAAGGTCGAGGATATTTGCGACATCGGCGAAGGCCAGCCACTCTTCGCGAACTTTGCCTATGAGGACATGTCACTCTGCAAGAGGCATCTCTTTTTTGGTGACCCTGTTCTCGTTGCCATGCTCTATAGTTTGCCGAAGGATTTTCCTGCAGGGTCCGTTCTTGGTAAAGTCAAGAACAGGCCTATGATCAGACCTTTAGGTTGGCATACGCATCAAAAACACATTCTCGGTCCGAACAAAGAATTCAGGATCAAAACCACGTAAAGGAGAAGCAACTAGTAAGTTAGTATATATCCTGCGCGCGTGGACGGTTAGTGAGTAAGTCTCCGGCGCAGAGATGGAGAAATAAGTTAGTAAGCTAGTTTGTTGGACAGTTAGCCAGTTAGTAAGTTCGTAAGTTAGCAGGCATGCCTAGTAAGTTAAAGGGCTACTGCTACGACTATTTTACTACTACTACTACTATTACTACTACTACTACTACTACCACTTCTACTACTACTACTACTACTACTACTACTACTACTACTACTACTACTACTACTACTACTACTACTACTGGTTGTTCCACCTACGACTACTACTACTACTACCACTACCACGACCACGACCACTACCACTACCACTACCTATCACTACTACTACTACTACTACTACTACTACTACTACTACCACCACCACCACCACCACCACCACTACTACTACTACTTCCACTGAGATTACTGAAGTATTGCTAGTAGTACTAGTAGTGGTAGTCGAATTCTATTACGAGTACGGGTACGAGTACCAGAACTAGTCCTACTACTACTTCTACCACCACCACCACCACCACCACTACTACTACTACTACTACTACTACCACCGCTACCGCTATCACTACCGTTACTCTGACTCCTACTACTACGACTACTACTACTACTACTATTACTATACTACTACTACTACTACTACTGCTGCTGCTGCTGCTGCTGCTACTACTACCTGGTTCAAATAAATGATCCTGAACCACCTTTTTTGTTGACCCCTCAGCTCTTTAGGTTTATCACTTGGTGTGCACACGCTGTACTGCATGTGGCCTACCAGCTATATTGCCTTGGCAGGTGAAAACATGCGAATGCCTAGAGTCTGCGTCTTTGGGGCAACCCACTCAGTCCTGGGGATGCGTGTGTCAAGTTCTCACCGATGTTCTCTCGGAGATGGACAGGACTGGGCCATGCTGAGCCTGCGAGTGGAGATGCATCCCTGGCGAGATTTGCATTCGTGGATGGGATTTTTTTTTTGCCGATTGGATCCTCTGGAAAAGAGAGGAAGAGAGTTGATCAGTGGCACTTATTTCCCTTTTCGTTGGGTGGTTCACCCCAAAGAACCCCCAGGGTCACTGAGCAAGTCGGACAAACAGATTGGTTGGCTTCGATCTGTCCCTTTTTTGGCATGTCGGCATCCTAGAGGCGGGAGCCTCAAGCTATCGGAGCATGTCACATCGGAGTTTGAAACGGGAAGCAAAGGGAAAGTCACAACTTTGGGGTTTTGGGCTCCTATATTGGCACACACCGTTCTGGGACCCTGGTTTTTTTTACCCGACACTTTGGATTGGCAGAGCACCGGACCTAAGTTGCGCATGGCAACCATCATTTGGAGTTGGAATGGGTTTGGGGCAGGACAGTTCAATTGGTCCCACAAGAAGTCCGTGTGGAAGAGTGTGCGATCACCCCCTCCCTGTTTGTTGGTTTGTTTGTTAGTTTGTTTTGTTTTGATTGCTTGCTTGCTTATGATGATGATTTTGCTGCTGCTGATGGTGATGCTGATGATCATTATTAGTATGCTGCCACGGATCCTTGCAGAATGTCAGCTGAGTGCCACATGAACGAGGTAACTTTCCAATTAGGATGGGACCTCACGCGCCAATTGATTCAAACAACTGGCGCACTGGCCAGGAACATGCTTCTCCATTCCTTCAATCACGACTGCGGGGATCCAGATCGAAATGGCCCGGAGCGCTCGGTGGGTCCATGCAATATGTGGAACTTGATTAGTAACGCCCCGCCCGCCCCTCAAGGTCGACAAGGTTTGGCCAGTCCGGTCCTTTCCGGTGTTTGTCTTGCCCATAGGACTGCAATTGGAAAGTACAATGAAATTGCATTTTCTGATTTTCCAGGGTTGGAGAGGGACTTGATTAATTTTGTGTTATTCGGGGCAGCCGTAGTCTTGGAAGGGGGTACCCTTTACGAGCTTTTCAAACCTTGTTTTAAAAAAAACAAAAACAAAAAGAAACAACAATTTGCGGCAGGCCTTAAGACTATGAAAGGAGTTATATGGTATTGACAAAAGTATTGGCAATAGATTTGGTAACTTAAAGTTGAAGTGTTTGAATGGTTTTGGGCCGGAAAGGGGACGTCTTTAATCAAGGGGATTCTTTGAGGTGCCCCAAAAGACTTGAGAGGGTTTTGTTGGCCAACCTTGTGGGCGCCTTTAAAGTAGTTTTGGCTGGCAGTCGGCTGGGAAAACCGGGCGTCTTTAATCACAGGGGGTTCAGAAATCACGTTCTGCAATTACACAGACAAAACAACATAGCAGAGCCCAGCGGACCACAACACACGACACCACATATCACGCGCACACGTTGCTGCGCATTCAAGTCCCGATCGTCAGTTGGTTTGTTGGTATAACATGTATGTGGTAAGAATAGCATGTTGAATCTGATTTTTGCGCACAGCAACAGACGCCCCGGGAGCTGGCTTTTGCCAAACTCCATTACGTCATTTCGGGCTAAGGCCTGCAGTTGGTTTGATAAAACCCACGCCAAATTGTGTGGCTTTCTCCCTTTGCCCTTTTGGGCTTCCAATTCCCATCAAGCAGCCAAAAGCCAGAGCTTGCAAAAGAGGCTATGCCTGATCAAGTTGTATTTCTGCTGTTGCTGCCATAAGTTTTTGAACTAGGAAGCGGGATGAAGAAAGAAGCAATGCCAGCAAGTAGCTTCCCAATTGTGATGTAGTTTGTCACCACTCATAGCAAATCATTCGGGCCCTTGCTTCACTTGGGGCCCTAGATCACCCCTTGCCTTGATTCCGATAGCGGGGACATGTAGTTGCAGCCCTGTCACTCTCTTCCGAGCTCCAGAAACTCGACCATGATGTTGACCAAAGCAAGAGGAGCAGTCCCAAACCTTGGATCCCACTCCATACCTCTTGGTTTGAAAGCTTTCTCTTGGCCACCTGCAGCGCTTTCAAGGGCGGTTAAAGACGAATGTCACCCACCTCTGAGTGGATGGCAACCAAGCATTTTGGGCTGCTGCTATTTGAGAAACCCCCATCTCTGATGGCCTTCGACAGTTCACTCTGAGATGCTTCTCGTATTTTGACTTTTGCCAAGGCATCCACCCCGAGTTCATCCCATTCTACTTTGGTGTCTCGACTGCGCACTAGGAGAGAGCGCTCACTCGTGCGATGCATTTGAATTTCTCCAACAAAAAGGTCCCCCAAAACAAATTGCCGAATCACGATTGGAGATTTACACCGGTTCAGAACCAGAACCAGTTGGAGATTCTTGACTCCCCGTCCTCCCAGTTCAGGTTGTATAATGTGCGTGCTGATTTGCACAGCACGCCATGAGGAGGGTCCCTTACGGAGCAGGAGCCACCACGACAATAGAAGTCGGTGGCGGAGGCCTTTCTGCGAGCTTTTGGGGCTGAGGATGGCCCTCAACAGTTTCCTGCCGTGAACTTCTCCCAGCATCTCCCAGCCCGGCAAGTAGAACATCTCATGGTCTTCACAGGGATCAGGGCTCATAGGAATTGCTTCTCTTCTCTTTCTGATGCTTGGTGCTTGACAGGTAAGGTCACGTACCAAAGAAGAATAGGATCTGGACAGAGTTAGAAGACCAGCAAGCCAAGCACAAGAACCTGTATGTTGATATTCCTGCATGCTGCAAAACGGGTGGCGGGTTCTTAGGGTCCAACCCGCGCGACGAGCCACGCTTGCTTGCTTTGGGTTTAGAAACTTATTATCAATGTGTCATGCAGGGACAGCCAGGGTGGCTTGGATGCCTGATGCGTTGTATTCATGTTCCAGCTCATTGGCCTTGGCCGACGGGTTTGCGCCCGGCAACCAACAACTAAGTAGAATGAAACTAGAGGGTGCGGGGGATTTGCCAAATGCAATCGGAGGTTTACGTGTTGGGCTCGTCCTCCCACGCCGACGAGACTTTCCGGTTGCTTGACTGTTGACCACCTGCGACTGCGGTCTGCCATTTGTTGTAGCCTAGGTTTGCATAATATGATTTCGCATAGGATTTGAAGGATTTAGCCTCACTTGAAGTTGGGATGGATTTGGTCTCCTGAGTGGCCCTTGAGCATTGGCGCGCCGAGGCCGATACTTCAGACGGAACTTCAGCCCAAAGTTCTACGGGGTGCACTGGCCTGGTTACGCTTCGGTCAGCAACAAGCATCCTTCGGAACACCAGGCATAATGCGACACGTGACAAATCTACCTGGATACCAAATGGAGCCCAGCACAAAACATAATATTTGGTTGATGCGAACGCTGTTCAAGTGGTTGGATCCAGATCACCTTTTGGGGCGCCCCACACCCGCAAGAACCTTGGTTGATGGATGATCGTAGCACGATTGCAAGCAATTGCCGAGGATCGCTGTCAGTTTAAGCGGCACTTGCCAAAGGGAGCCAACGAGAGCCGTGTACACTGCAAGCTATGCTATTGAAGGGTTGATTCGGGTCTCATATCGTCATGGATTGCAATTCTACGCTGACATCTAGGTGTTTCTCCTGAGAACACGGAACTTGGCAAACCAATGCGTAGAGGACACATTTTGGATCTAGTGAGGTATCTCTCGTGTAGAAATTCGCGGCGAGTCTTCAACACTGTCTTGAAGGCAACGACAGGGCTTCTTGAACGATACAATTGGGCCATATTAAAACCCCTCTCCTTCCACAAAACCGAGCAGGAAACCACCATTTTGGGGTGACGACATAAGAACCAAGAACCCCTGTTGGATCACTTTTACACAGCCGCCAGTGCGAGTGTTAATCAGAACTGTCCGTTCCAGCCATGCCTGAACTGGCTTTAACAATCACTGCTGCAATTCCTGGCTCCAATCATGTGTTATACCTTTATATTAGACGGTGCGAGAACATATGTTGAAATTATGACAGTTTCATTCCAAAGGTTCATCCAGTTGCATGTTGATGGCTGTCTTATTCCACGCCTTTGGAGGTGTTGACTTCCGAGACACTTCATGGCTCTTGGCCAGCTCTGACTCAGGATGCTTCAGGTGTTAGCCAGCCAGCATTGTTATGTCTGATGCCCTTGTGTGAACTGAGGTTCCAATATCATACGGGACAGGGACACCGTAGATTCTGAGGGAGCCAAGGAGCGGATGATTAAAGTTCTCTTTAACTGGGCAACCAAAGACCTCAAAGAACCAAGCTGTTGAACTGTAACCCCAGGCCATCCTGGTAAAAGACGGAGGGCATTCTGCAGCAAACGGCACCCTGTTCAAACGAATTGGCTTCGGACTCAGTACCAGCATCCTTCAGATGTCTGTGCAACTTTAGACAATGGATAGCTTTTCTTTGGGGGAGGGAGATGATGCAGCATTCTCTAAATTTCCCCCTTTGCGAGGTGATGTTTAAAGGGGAACTGTAGGGACCCCGGTTGTTTTGTTTTGGGAGGGGGGGTGCGATGTTATTCTGAGCCAAAGGTCAACACCATGGAAGAGCTCGTCTCTCTGATTGACGACAGCCTGGTGGGGTGCCCAGTCACCCCGCTGACCTTAAGCGGGGAAAGAAGGGAGGCTTGCTGCTTTGCCGTCTCTGGAGCTTGAGTTGAGTCTTTGACCATGAGTCAACACGATTTCCCCTACAATGCATGTTTGGTCGTGTTTGAAGTTTCTTCTCGCAGACCGCCTTGCAAATGAACACAACACGTTTCCCACCAATGCTTTTGGGATCAACAAGGGTCACGGTGGCGCTGAGTCGAGCTGACGTCCGGCTAGGAGAGCCACAACGGGCAGCTCCCCTAATGAACAACTGTGACGGCAAGGTTTTGACATTCATGCAGCGCACAAACCAAGTGGTGACCAGTTCAGTCAGGAGCCTTAGCCTCTTTCGGCTGATTGTAATAGTTTGGTTGAGCCTTTCCATCCACATTGAATACACAGCTTTTGCAAGACAGGGATCGCTGTCAGTGCCGATGTCATGCCGTTTGCCGATGTTGCCAAAACATTGACCAAGTAATGCTAGGTTGTCGGCACGAATCTGACAGCTTCGCGGTATGGACAATGTTAGCCTGCTTCTGGTGTATCAAACACACACCTCAGCGTGACAGGATGCCCGATGCCATCGTAGAACTGGCAACCCAACGGGGCCCAAACTCCAAATTGAAGTCATGGTGCAAAACGGTGATTGAGACTCTTGCATGGAGCCGTGATTTTGGCTGTTGCCAATACATGCACGTGTTTGTTTCCGGGTTTGTTTAATTGCTTGCTTGCTTGCTTGCTTGCTTGCCTGCTTGCTTGCTTGTTTGCTTGCTTGCTTGCCTGCTTGCTTGTTTGCCTGCTTGTTTGCCTGCTTGCTTGCTTGCTTGCCTGCCTGCCTGCCTGCTTGCGTGCTTGCTTGCCTGCTTGCGTGCTTGCTTGCTTGCTTGCTTGCTTGCTTGCTTGCTTGTGTGTGTTTGCTTGTTTCTTGGTTTCTTTGCAACAATCACGTCGCTGGCCGCGCTCAGGTGATTTCCTCGCGGGTCGTGTTGAGCCAGGTCTCCGAAGAGCCGCTGGGCCGAAAACCGGGGCCGAAGCTCCCGGGCTTGGCTTCGTCCTTGCCGAGTTTTTTTTGGTTTGGTTTGTATGTCTTGATTGTCTTGTTGTGTTTGTTGTGGTTGGTTGGGCTTGGTTTGGTTTGTCTTGTTTTGTTGGGTGAGCGTGGATCATGAACACACAACTTCTTTTAACATGTATGCGCCCTTGTTTTGGGGGCTCATCAATAATATACCCTTGCCGAAATTCGGGTTTACATGGAAGTGAGCTGCCTTCTCAAGGCCCCAAAAGGAGGCGTTTGCATATGTGAGCCTCTCATTGGGCTTGCATGAACATCGCGGTTTGCATATTGTCCATTAGGAATCATTAGGCAACGCTGAGAAAAGCTTGATACTGCATTACATACATGGTATGCATGCACGCGCGCACGTATGCATACAATAGTATTAAATATATACATACATGTATTTGATGTCACTTTCCAAAACAAGAAGCCCACAGCCTCATGCCTTGTGTCATTGCGTTTTACACAGGTGTCGGCCCTGGATTAATCAACCTGATGGATGGTTAGTCGGTGTTCCCTGGATGCAACTGCCCCAACATTGAAGATCCCGCCACAAAGCTCAATTTTAATTTGCCTGTTTTGTTGCTAGGTCACCGATTTAGAGGTAAAACGAGCTTACAGCGATGTCGATCCTGGGGATCCAATTGTTGTTTTAGGTGTTGGAACTAGATTGAACTTCCCGGATAAAGTGGGGTTCAGCTATTGCTTACATAGTCACGGCTATTGCCGAGGGACTGGCAAGACCCTGTTCTACCAGGGTTTCAATAATTTGTTCATTTCACTAAGTCACTATGAGTTGTTCGTAGGGAACCACCTCCAAAGTAGTTAGTGGCCCTTGTCCCCGCCTAAACGACGTGCACCAAAGGGTCCCCTATCAAACTGGTTCCCATTTTGCTTCTGCAGCCATTCCTCGATAGGCTGGAGACCAACGAGGTCTTTGTGGCCTTGACGGAGGACGCCCGGCGCATCAGGCGCGCGCTTTAGGTACATAACATGTATCTCTCTCTCTAGATATATATATATATATGTATGATATACATATGTAGGTATATATATACAAACTCACCTCCTGAGTTCCTGGCTTCCAACTTTCTGGAAAGACCACATTAGTGGAGAATCAAGCAAACACATTTTGCAGCCAATCCACTCAGGAAGCGAGTATACATATATTTTATGCATGTATGTATGTATGTATGCTCTCATGACAGGTCATCCCGCAATCTGTGCAGCTGTTCGGATCAAGTGGCATGGATAGGACTGTTACCGTTGGCGTTGCCAGCGGTTCCATCTCGTCCGTGCTCCTCGGTCTGCTGCATCGAGCTGTGGTTGCGAATCCTGAGATCTTGGTACCTGGCTGTGCAGCTGGGGTGCTGGATCTCGACTTCTTCCGAGGTTGGCACATTCCGTCCATCCTCCTGGGCATCTTCATTGGCATCTGTGCGGGACCCTTGTTGGATTTGGTCTGGCTTCTCCGGCATAGGTGGCGAAGGTTCATCTTCCTGCAGTCTCTGGGCTGGGACCATTCCGGCAAACAGCTCTACAAGGTCCTTGCATGAGCAGCGGGTCTGGCCACTGCAACGCTGAGGTTCTGGCTGAGATACGGGAACTGCGAGCAGAAATCCAAAAACTACGTGCGCGCGTGGAGGAGCTGGAGCTTCGGGATCTCAACCCTAAGAGCGGGGAAACCGAGAGCGAGTTCAGCTTGGTTGCCGGGGAGCCTCAATTCCCTGACCCCTTGCGTGGCCCTTCGGGCCTACCGCGGGGGTGTGCTGAGGTTTCCAGCTCTGCTACCGGCAAGGATCCCTGGCAACATCGCCTTCAGGTGGCCCGAGAGGTGGGCTTGTACCTTCGGCGTGCTCTCAACGGTCGTCATCGAGGAGTGTCAGGGAGGTCAAAGATCGACTTGCCTTCCCGGCGCTACGTCGTGGTCCAGGACAAGTACAATAACCGCTACGAGGACCCCGTGAAGGTCGCGGAGCGGTTCGGCGAGGTCAAGAGCTTGTGCTTCCGGGGCGCGTCGCCGGAAAACTCCATCTTTGTGGGGCTGCCCTCTTCCCGCGAGGCCAAAGAAGCAGTTGCGTCTGCAGGTCTGAAGTGGCCTGCAGGCTATCAGAGCAATGTTTGAAGCTGAAGTCCCGGAGGCTGGCGAGCTTGTCAGCATCTTGGACTACGCGGTCCGGTCTGGGTCGCAAACAATTTTGGACTACCAGCTGGGTCGAATCCCCGTGGATACTGAGGCCGGCACCTTCAGCGCCATCGTAATCGTGGGAGACTCCGACGGTGCGGTGCTGGTCTGCCTTCCTCACGCTTTATGGCATCGGCAAGTTGCTCAACGCCTTCTACCCCCTGGAACGCTGCGGCGGGCAATGACCTGTTCTGTAGCGGCATGCTCGGTGGAAATGAAGGACGCCATCCGAGGTTCGCAACTGAAGGTCTGGGTCGGCTTCCTCTCCCCCACGATGGAAAGCCTTGTCGAGTTCCCTGAAGAGTGGGAGGTGGACTACGAGTTCTCGTCCGAGGAGCCGTCCCTGGTCCCTTTCGCAACAGCCCTGATAGAGCTTGCCGAGGAGAAGTTCAGCTTTCTGTCCGCCGAGTCTGGGTTAGCCGCCAAGCCTCAGAGGGACGTCCCCACCACGGAGTCCAGGCTCGGACAGTTGGAGGGGGCCCTCGAGGAGATCAGGCTTGGACTAGCTCAACTTCGAGCAGAAAAGACACCTCGTCCTTCAGCTCTCCGGCAACCGCAGGCTTAGCCCTCCGCAAAACGGGATCCGGTCTTGAAGGAGGATGCCGCGTTGCGAAAAATGGATCCTGCCGTGGTGGCGTCGGCCAGAGCGGCCGGCATTCCGGAGGCCCACTTGGTCGAGCTCGCGGGCATCTTGCAGAACGCGCCCAAGAACCTGACCGACCTCCCGCGGACCCCGGCCAAGAAGCCTGTGAAGGAGAACCCTTTGTCCGAGTCCAGCGACGAGCTTCTGGAGGCTGCCGACGAAGAGGAGGCCAGAGGTTCCGAGCAGGACGTTTCCAGGGCCGTACTCCAACTCACCAAGGTTGTTCGGAGCCTCGCCGCCGACAAGTTGAGAAAGCCCCAAGATCCTCTAGACGCCATCCTGGACGGCGGATCTGGTTCGCTGGCGGCGGACGGTGCTGCGACGGGAAGCGTGAGGCGGAACGCGGCTGCTCTCCGAGCCCTCAAACGATCACTCACCGAGAACCCCGAGGCGATTTACACCACAATCGAACGTCACCTTCAAGAGGACTTTCTGGGCAGGCCTACTGCACCCGGAGAAGTCAGCGCCTGGAATCTCGATCAGAGGTTGGTTGGAGCATCGCTCACGCATGCAGAACTTTACAACTAAGTGAGGTGGGCGTGGCAGGTCGGGGCCATTTGGGAGTGTCTCATCCAGAACAAAGTCAAAGAAGCCAGAGCCAGGTGCAGCCTCCTCATAGCTGCATCGGACCAAGCGGCCATCGATGGGGGGTCGTGGCTCCTTGGGAACGTGGGTCTTCTGGAAGGTCCCCCTCCATTCCACTCGTTCGCCAATCACCGACCTCCTTTTCCGCAGGAGTCCTTTACGACCCCAGGTGGGTCGAGGTCTTCCTCGCACACGTCAAGGACATCGACAGCTACCACGAGGCGCGGAAGAAGCTCGGCGGCAAGGTCGGGGGAGGGGTGTTTGGGGTGGAGGACTTTTGGCCGCCCTGCAGACCGGGCTTTCTGGATCTTTACAGCGGTGAAAAGGGTGTTGCCCTTGCCGCGTCCAGACACTCTGGGGTGTGGACCCTTTGTTTTGACATAAAGGATGGACCTGAGCAAGACTTGGAGGATCCGCAACTCAGGCGCAAGCTTGAGTGGCTTATCAAGGCTGGGGCCTTCCTGGCCGTGGGGGCTGCTCCGGTTTGCAGCTCTTTCTCACAGGCCATCACACCCCCAGTTCGTACGTGGCAGTTTCCGTTTGGCAAGCCAGATGTTTCTCCAACTATGCAGGCAAAAATTGATTCGGGCAACGACCATGCCCGTTGGCTTTTGGGGCTTCTCATGCTGCTCTTCGCCCTGCACTCCCCTTTTGGGTGGAAAACCCCGCTAGCTCCTGGCTGTTTCGGCTCCCTGACTGGACAAAATGGGAACAGGAGTCAGGCGTGAAGTCGTGGATTGTCGACTACTGCAGATTTCACATGGCGTGGCGGAAGCGAACTCGATTCCTTACCACGCTACGGCTTGCAGGTTTTTCCACGTTGTGCTTCAGGGACCACCAACTTTTCCTTTGAGGGGGCGGTCGCATGTGCACCGCAAGTCTTGGACGCTTGTGGCCAAGCCCTACCCAAAGGGGGTAGCTGAGGCGGTCGGGAGATGCATGGCAGCCGCTATAGGAAAGTTTGAGCTTTCAAGAGACTTCGATCCTGCTCAATGTGCACGGACTGGGCACAGGAGAATTGGCGAGGCGAAGAACCCTGGGCCTACGCGTACTGTCCCAGATCGGAGTCGAGCCACGCACGCAGCTGTTTCAGGCTAAGGTGTGGGAAGGATTCATTCACTGGTGTAATGAAAGTCTGTCGTGCGAAGCATGTCAAAGTATTCTTGCATTGCCGCAGCTGCTGCCCCTCTTGATCAATGAGTACGGCTGTTTTCTCTACCAACATGGGAAGCCCATTCACGTCTTCCGGCATTTGGTCGCTTTTGCTCAGAAGAACGTTTTTGGCGTCAAGGTGTACCTCAATTCATCCTGGGACATGTTGACCCGATGGGAGATAGCCGAGCCGGTTCGTCATCGAACCCCTATTCCAGCAGCTCTAGTTCGGGCCATGATGACCGTTGCTTTGCACTGGCACTGGTTCAGATTTTCAGCAGCTCTTGGATGCGTGTTCTTTGGCATGGCTCGCCCCGGCGAAGTCCTGGGTGCCACCCGAGAGGCACCTGTGCTCCCATCCGATCTGATGATCCCGGGAGCGAACACTGCGTACTTGAAGATCCACGAACCAAAAGGTCGGCGGCGGGGAAAAGGGAGAATCCAGCACACCTCCTTTTCTGACCCTGACGCAGTGTTGTGCGCAGAGATGGTCTTTGGGAACCTTCCCGCCACGTCCAAGCTGTTTCCTGGATCGCATGGCGCTTTTCGCAGAAGATGGGACGCCATTTTGTCTTCGCTGGGGGTGGTCAACCGCGCATCCTTAACGCCTGGCGGACTTCGTGGAGGCGGCGCTGTCGCCGCCTTTCAAGGGGGAGACGAGCTCACGAAAATCCTCTGGAAGATGAGGCTGAAGCACCTGGCCACGCTTGAGTCTTATCTCCAAGAGGTCACTGCAGAAACATGCCTGTCAAAGCAGCCTTCACAGACGAAGCAGCGGATCTTTGCCGCTGCTGAGATGCTCAATGCCTCTATTTGCTCCAGATGCAGGCCACCGAGGGGCCCTTGACGGACACGGAGTTAGCGAGCTCCTCGAGCCTGACTCCGCAGCCTCTCGTGCCTGCCTTTTAGAGATGGAGACCAGTCTCCCTGTCTTGAAGATGGTCATCATTTCCTCCTGCGCAGGATAACACGGCTTGACACTCCTTTGCGCCGAAGGTGCTCTTTTGTCAAGACGCCGTGTCTTTTCATGAGACAGCTTGACGCTGGGCCACAGGAAAACAGTCTTGTGAGCCTGAAGCAGCATGAGGGGTGGCGTTGTCATGCTCTCATGACAGGTCATCCCGCAATCTGTGCAGCTGTTCGGCCCTCCCGCCCTCCCTTGGGAGACTCCCTGTCTTGAAGATGGTCATCATTTCCTCCTACGCAGGATAACACGGCTTGACACTCCTTTGCGCCGAAGGTGCTCTTTTGTCAAGACGCCGTGTCTTCTCATGAGACAGCTTGACGCTGGGCCACAGGAAAACAGTCTTGTGAGCCGGAAGCAGCATGAGGGGTGGCGTTGTCATGTATATATATATATACATATGCTTGTTACACATATAAGGGGACCGGACCTAGGGCTGTGGTAGTCATCTGGACATGATCATGAACTGACCCATAGGTTGCACATATAATGTGTATATATATATATATATTTATATATTTAGGGCCCATAGCCCCTGCCCCTGCCTGCCGGCCTGTCGATTCTCCACTTGTCGGACCTCAATTGTTGCAATTGATTTTGCTGGACCCTGTTAGTCAATTGCAAGTCAGGCGACCTGCCAATGCCGGCAAATGAGGGCCAACATCGTTGCTCAAGTTTGTTCTATACCCCACAGCCCCATTGTAATCATTCAAGGCCTTAGCTGGAGCTGTTGGGACAATGTGAGCACTGGAGGTCAGCCATGATGCGCGTGTGGGATGGAAAGATCATGATCAAAATCTGTGTGGGTATTTGTCGGGGGGGGGGGGGGGGGGAAACATGTGTGTTTTGTTGACATCCGTTCAAAAAGCACTCCAGAACAGGTACCGAGCCGCAACAGAGACACACATGCACGGAAAAGAAATCACGAATCCTCGAGCCTGCGCTCCAGGGCCCGGGTGTTCCGTGCCCCTGTGCTTTGTCGCATGGGGCGTTGCGCAATGTCGCTTTTTCGTTATCCGGGTTGCCTCTCATTCTTCAAACAGTCTATATGTGACTGTTTGGAGACGGCCTATGATACCTTGGAGAATTGGGAAGTGAACCGCGGATCTGGGAAAAGTAGTTCACAAGCTCCTGGGGCTGAAAGGAGCCCTGCTAGTGGGGGTAAATTTCACGGACCTCGACGCCCATCGACTCCTTGGCTAGGCAGCGCAAGCTGAACGCTGGGGACGTCTCGGCGAACCTGCAGATCAACATCCCGCAGGATGGCCAGTATGGACTGGCCCTCAGTAACGCACATTCTAGTTGCGGTTGATGCTCTACATATTGCAAGCAATTAAACCAAGCAGACTCAACCACAAAGCCGTGGTAAGCAACCATACAGATCTCCAGTTCAGGCAACCAAGCCTCAATTCCACCCTCTTAATCCGTTTTTGATTGGCGACTGCTCACTAGAAACGGAATCCTGGGAAGCTTGTGCTAGAAATGTTTGCTTCTCTTTCAGTGGTAGAAAAGACGGATACATTGTTGATAAACAAATTGCATTTTACGGGAGATTTGGATGAGACAACAGCACAGATTGTTCACATTGCGCGTCAGACCAGGGCGGCCTTTCTATCTTGACTTGACATTGCGATCGTTTGACCTTGTCCTTGAAAGGTCGAGAGGTTTCCAAACAAAGGTGCAGCTCTGCCATGTTTGGTTCTTTTGGGGAAGATGACTGTGCACGTGTAGTAATTTTGACAATGGATGGCAATGGTTGTTTCCCCAATTGCCAGTCATTCCTTTATGAATTATTGAAATGGTTGGCAAGCCAGATCCCGTAAGTCATTGTTTGCAATTGGGGGGACGACTCAAGAATCACGGATTGCACTGTCTAAGCCCGAAACGTGACTTACCAGTTGTTCAGACACACACGCACACACACACACCCACGCACGACACCACAGCATGCATGGACGCACCCGCACACACACACACACTCACTCACTCACACATGCATATTTCAAGGTATATTATTAATTGACTTTCAGCTCGGCCTTTGACTCTTCCGGCTCTTCAATGCTCTTTGATTCAAAAGCTTAATGCATGTTTGCCAACGTTTCACATGAACTTTTCTTGCATCCCGACAACCCTGAAATACGAGTGTCATGTACCAATTGAAAGGAAAACATGGCTCGCAGTTCAAGGATTTGGGGAGGTTTCAGGTTGCAAAACGAGCGGCAATGCGAAAACTGTCCTTTGCACCAAGCAAGCCTCCCCAACCCGAACCCTCCTAAACCGATCCCAATGCAAGCCTAACCCCATTGTTAACCCACCCGAAGCTAGCACCTACCCACCCTAAACCACCTATCACACCATCTCTGCCTGAACACTTCACCCTGCTTCTAAAGCTCGCCTTAGGCTGCCAGATGCAGTACAACCAGGGTTACGGCCAGTGCCTCTCGGCCGACAGTCGCCACCATTTTCAGTGCAAAGGCCAAGGTTCTTTTGCCGTTTTCCCAACAGCTTGGCACATGATACTAAATGACTAAGTGGTGCCGTTGCTCTCCAAGCTTTTGAACAACCGCCTTCCACTCGCCAGAATCATGGTGTAGATCGGGGGCACTGTGGACAGGTTTCGAACCCTGTCAGGTTGGATCGAACTCTACCCCGGCGCCCGGCTGACCGTTTTAGTAGGTTCTACCATTTCTTATGGTGGTTTTTGTAAGGCCTATAGAAGCCTGTATAGCTGTGCATAAACATCTTGGTCGAGTAACAGTCGATGCTCCCCTGAGTGACAATCAACACCTGGTACTTGTACTACAGTGGTCTACCCAAGGCCATGTAAAGAATGAAGAGGGCAGCAGCACCTATTGCTGGCTGGGAGTGTCCCTCAACTATCCTTCATCTGCCCAAAGAGGGGACTCCCCAAAACAAGGAACCCAACAGAAACCCCATGAGCCCCAGTGGTCCTTAGTAGTCGCTATTGCGATTGGGGGGGGGGCTTGCAGGTGGGCCCTTGATAGGAAAAATAAACGATGCAAAGGCGTAGGAGCTTGCAGTAAAGCACCAGGAGTCGAAGCCTCGTTTCTTCGGGTTCGGCGGTTCGGCGCGTCAACCCAAGCGCCTCAAGGGCTGCTTAAGGCCAAGGCTCTGAGAAAAGGGTGGGGTCGGTTTTCGTTCATTGCATGGGGAAGTCTCAAACCAGGGATTTGTTCTGCTGGTTGGCGCCCTGTTGTTTCCATTTAAATTTACCAAGCAAACAGGGGTCACCAGTTCCAGGGGTCCTTATCCCTCTTTTGGCGGTTCAGCATATCACCTTTCTGGTCCATTTAAGGTGAGTTTTCCTTGGTATATAGGGGTGATGGGACGACTTGGAAACTGTAATAGTTTTGACGCAAAAGCACACAAAGCCAATGTTTTGCTCGATTGGGCATTGCATTCGCTACGTGCGTCTGAAATCGGAACAAGCTGAAACTTGGGCTTTCAAGACATCCAGAGGATATGGATATTATCGTGGGCATATAGCGACATCACTAATGGTTCGCCGTTAGTAAAGGGCCCCCTTCCAGGTCGACAAGCTTGGACCAGCCACTGAGCTTTTGGCGCCCAGAATCTGGAGTCCCCTCGGTCCTCGTTTTACTTCTGACTCCTTCCAATCTGGGCAATAAAGCTTGACATGGCAGCAGCGGTTTTTTGTGTTTGGCGCAAAAGGGCCCTGATTGAATGGGGGGATATGTTTTGTCAATGAGGGGGCTGGCCTCCCCTTTGTGAGCTTGCAAACCTTGTCATGTTGGACAAACTAAGACAAAGGCATTTGGGGGAAGCACCTTTTTGGCAAGACCTTGAAGGGTTTAAGCGTAGAAAACGTAAATACTAGGAAAAAGGAAAGCCCCTCTTTTGGCAGGTTTTTTGGCTTGTGGGATGCAGGGGGGAACCTTTAATCGCGGGTTTCTGGGAGGTTCAAACCATGATTGTTGGACAGACCTTGTTGGCCCTTTACTTAGTATTGGCAGGAATTTGAGAGGCAAAAGGGGAAGCCTTCAGCCCGGGGTGCACTGACATTGAGGGGTTTGCGACCTCACCCGTGTTTTTTTTGTTTTTTTTGTATGGGATCCCTAATGTTTGGTTGGTGAATCATAAACAATTGCCCAGGCAACAGGCCTAAATGTCGGTCGGTTGAACACACATGAATCACATGAACCTGATCGGGACATACAGGCATGCATCCATACATGCTATGTGCATCATGCAATATATGCATACATCGAATGCACCGCATACATGTGCGCAGACAGCATACATATTGTACATGTACATAATATGCAAATACACATACACATGTATACATATACATCACTCCGGATCGAAAATCACAAGTACTGCTAAATCGATTTCGCAAACATTATTTATTTGGTCAGCATGCTGAAACGTGGTTTGTATGGGGCCAACATGAAGGCAGTTTGCATTTTGCCAAGGTTCCGTGCGCAAAACGGATGACGCTTTGCGTTTTTTCGAGGGCGGGCTATCTTGATAAAACAAAAACAAGCGGCGAAGGCGCCCCCTGTTCTGCTACTTGCATGTACCAGCCAACGGGTGTAGGTGGAGAAGGCGGAGAACGCAGAAAAGTCGACGAGAGATAGCAAGCAGAGAGGCGGTCAGGATCGATCTCAGCGCTGCCGGGGGGAAAAGACGAAACCTCGCTTCGCACACGACGCCAATGATTCAACGGAAAAGGCAAGTGAAATGAGATCGCGTCAAAAGACAAAGGCCACCGCGCAGGAGTGGTCACCACCAACAAGGAAAAAGACAGAACAGGGTTAAAGTCCACAGCCTGACAGTGTACGTCAAGCAGGTGGCCGATGCATCCACATACACGAGTGTGCGTGTAACTATGCATAGTTCATGCGTTTATACTGTGCTCTATGAGTCTATGATGTCCATGTTACAGGAATTATACATGTGTTGTAGCATGACGTCACATTTGAACTTACAGGAAAGCACGACCTTGGAGAGGACTCAGAATGCTCCGACTATACTGAGTGGTCTTTCTGCTGGTAGACTCTGACCGTAAGACTAGTGCGGCATGATAGGTTATAGACTGGACACTGTCTACGTGTGTCACCTAAGGCGGCTACGGCAACATGGGCGGCTGCTGCAACATGGGCTGTGGCTGCGGATACAACAACATGGGCTGCTGTGGCGGCGGCTGCGGTTGCGGCTGCGAGGGCTGGGGCAACAACATGTGTGGCAACTACGCGGCTGGCAGCATGGGCGGCGGCGGCTGCATGGGCGGCATGTGTGGCTGCGAGAACATGGGGTGCCAGGGCTGCCAGGGCTGCCAAGGCTGCGATGGCAAGATGGATCAGCCGGCCACCCAGTAAGAAGTGTTGCTTTGAGTGGTGCTCAGTGCAATGGGGCCTGGCGGAGGTAGTCGTTTATATGCGGGAGGTGGGTTGGGAGTGAGATCAACGATGAACGGCTGCTGTGTGTGGTTTGCTGCGTGTTGCGCATTTTGCAGCCTGTCCTGGATCGCTAAAATCCGGCCAGCATAGTCTGGAGAAGGGGCTGACATTTAGGGGAGAGCATGCCAAGGTCGCAGCAGAACGCTCAGATGATGCAGCAGCAGCAGATGATGCAGCAACAGCAACAGCAGTATACGCCGTACGAGCAGCAACAGATGCAGCAACAGCAGTACCAGCAGCAACAAATGCAGCAACAGCAGTACCAGCAGCAACAAATGCAGCAGCAGCAGTACCAGCAGCAGCAGCTGCAACAACAGCAGCAGATGCAGCAGCAACAGCAGTACCAGCAGCAGTTGCAACAACAACAGCAGTACCAGCAGCAGATGCAGCAGCAGCAGCTGTACCAGCAACAGTTGCAGCAACAACAGTTGCAACAGCAACAGCTGCAACAGCAGCAGCTGTACCAGCAGCAACTGCAGCAGCAGCAGATGCAGCAACAGCAGCAGATGCAGTATCAGCAACAGCTGCAGCAGCAGCAGATGTATCAACAGCAGATGGCAGGCGGCGCTCAAGCGCAAGCCTACTGAGAGACTTCGCGGTGGTGGACGGCTCGTGTCGGCTGTGGGAAAATAGAGGCTGCTTATGACTCACGACAGCTGGCTAGTGTTAGTATCCGACCTCAGCAACGATAGTTTAGATGATTCGGCACAGCTGATTTGGCGACCTGTAGATCGCTTACTTGAGCAGGTCCAGTCTATTGTTTGCAATGTGGGGCAACTGCAGTGAGTCTTCCATTGGTAAGAAAGGTCCGTGTTGCGTTTAGTTGCTTCAATTTGCAAAAGGCATGTGTGTGTGTGTGTTTCCCTCTCAGATGTAGCATGCTTGAGACTTGGTCGGTGCCTCACAGGGGAAAGCAGCTGGATAGCATCAGAGATGAGCTCTTGATTTCCCCCATGTCAAAAAGTGCAATTATGTATGCCCAATCCTGCTACTTTGAAACTGAAAGTATCGGGACGGCGGAAATGCAGCACACACCCGGCACATGATCGTTGCAAGCTCCGATTCAAATTTGCTAACATGGATTACTTTCCTCGGCACTCAACGCATGAATGTCCGGGCAAATTAGAACGAGCTCACCCATCCGAGGCTTTAGCCAGCTCACTCATGAAGGTTTCTTACTTAAGGGATGTATTTGTCCGGTTTGCGAATTGTTCCCAGATTACCGGGGGTTTGCCTAACACCTGCAGGATTGCCTATTAAAGGGGACACTTTCCACATTTATCAAGCAGGGGCTTGTCAACCAAGAAGCAGAGCAGCCATCGGGGCCCGACCTGCACTGCACATTTGCCGTGGGATTTGGTTTCGGGCTCAAGCCACCGCTCCCAAAGGCTGCGTGCAAAGCGACGCGGAGCGTAGGGCATCCATGCAGCATGGTATGATGAGCCGGCAGCTTATTGGCCTTGGTACACCCAGCGGATCTTAGTTACCACTATAGTAGGTAACCAGCCATTGTCCTGTTAGTTGTTTCAGGGTGGGAACCCTTGAATTGCTTATACAAACACCTGGGATCACTAGGCTTGACCATCCGCTGAGCCAAATCTCGTTTGGCCTACGCAACATCCTCAAAAAAAGAGAACCATATCGCATTCAAGAGGCGGAAGCCTTTTTGGTCGGGTGTGGTATGTCACAACAGGGGCGATTCTGGTATGGGCGTTCTTGTCGATATCTTTTGCTGAACAATGAAGGAAGCTGACTGCTGCAGTACTTGCATGCGTGATGGCAGTGCTGTTTCAATGCGAAAATGCGTATTTACCGACAGGGTCGTAGGCCCGCAACGTTGGAAGGGATTTTAGACTTGGGGGATTATTGTCATTTGAGTAAGGTTTACAAACTCAGTGTACATGCTAAACAAGGGCTGTGTCATATCGACCCGTTGCGCAAGCGAAACCTCCATGGAAATAAGATAGCGGAAGCAGCTATTGAGTACATGGCGCGTAACCATTGCGCGCAAGCTCTTGTGCAATCTTTATTTGTTCATGTCCATTTCTTGCGTGCTTCGTGTACTGCATTTGCCAAAGAAAGATCTTCATGAAACTTGCTTGTTTCATAAGGCTTGGTCGTTTCAAATGTCCGCCTCAAGTGGTCTATCCGATTATGCAGGGCATATTGGAGGTGCCAGTACACAGTGCCGATTCTCATAATATAGCTCAATGAAAGGTGATCACATTGAGTAGTAGTTTGAGTAGTAGTAAAACACAATACTTTAATCATAAACCGTCCCCTCGAACAAAAACAACCTTTTACTATTAGTGCCCCCTAGTTTTTGGCCAGAACTGTTTCAGATTGCGTTGTTTAGTACTGGGCAGGGGGACCCCTGGGATTTGCAAAACAAAGTGTTCTGGATGCAACTTGTGAAAAATAGACTTTTATCGAGAAGGTGCCATTTTTCAATAACATCTAATCATACTGGAGACCCTGACGATAACAGCCGCTGTTTGCTACCGGAAACCCTAAACACAATTTGAACCGTTGTTTGCTCATGGAGTTTTTAGTGGAGCCTCTATTGCAGCCCTATTGATCATTACTTGCCCCAAATAAGCACATTCGGGGAGCTTGACTGAATTTGGTTTCTGGATAGTTTGGTTTAGCATTGGGTGGCGATTCTTGGAGTCGACTGGAGGGTTTTTATTATCAGGGGATCGTTTATTCATAGGAAGAAGGGATTACTGCTCTGTCGGGATGACCACCATGCGGAGACAGGGCGCGAAGTGCAAACACTGAACTTCACTCTAGCAAGGGGTAGAGCCTCAGCCTTCTGCCTCACCTAGATGATGCCTTTCCACCCTGCCTCCCTGGCCGAGGCTTTATCGAAACTCACCTCAGCTAAGCATTTCTTCGACCGTCTCATACAACCAGATAAATCTGCCGGTGCTTTGAGGAATCATCCAGTGGTTGCTGATTCTGTGATTTCCAGCTGGGTTTGGTGTAACTCATTTTTCTGATGATTCACGGTTCTCAGCGCCACTTCCTGGAGACTTGCACCCCAGGCAATAGTTGACCAGGCCAACATGTTGAACGCAAGCAACCATCCCCGTGAAACAGCTAAGTTGCCCAAAAGCCCCTGCTAAAGTATGTTTCCTGTGCTACAACTGCAATGACAAGTTGCGATTTCTGACCTGGAGCTGCCAAAGTGAACGCCGCGAACTGCACTTGCACAGTGTACAGGAAACCTCTCGCACAAAGTCACCTTTTCATTGATGGGACGCCGTGTTCCAGGCGTATGGATTGTGTGACGCCTAGTGGAAGCCCATGCGTCGCGGAAGCAATGCCCTAAGGAACAGGATGCGACATAGCGATGTTCGTCATCGCGTGTTCAAGTTCATTCCCAGAGCAGAACTTTAAGTACGCACGTATTTGTAGTAAAGGCCATACTAACGATTGGCCAAAGTCAATACTTGCGGAATCTTTCCTGTGAAGGTAAGACATGTTGCTGGTCTCTATTGCATGCTTACGATCTGGGGAGAGCAGAAGAGCAAGAAGAAGAGAGTAACGAGAATCACAAGAATAACAGTAACAACAAGAAGAACAAAAAAGGATCAAAGGAACAAGAAGGAAAGCAAGAAGCAAAATGAAGAGTAAGAAGAGGAAGAAGCAGCTTCCATCTCCTGCGAACCTTGCTGCTTGGTTGTGACAGAGTACTACCTTTGGATATACAAAGGAACATCTTGACTGCTGATGCTGACCAGTTCCCTGCCCTTTTGCTCTTTTGAATATCGTCTAAGTTGCATCCCCGAAGTCAATTGATGCATATTCCTCTTCATTCGAATGTACAATCAGACCTTGTCGTGGAGCTGCGTAGGGAAGCAACAAATATGTTTTTTCCACAGCAGATGTCATGCAGCTTGTAGCTCATAGGACCCTTCCTCCGAACTCCAAGGTGTGAAACTGCAAGGGTAGCAAAGGGTTTCCTTGGTTTCCTTTTGCCAGGCAACTTTGTACCGTGTGCCAGGGTTTGTGGGGCAACCCTGTTGACCCTTGTACAGAGTTGTTCACCTCAGAGTACGGAAGCCGAACAAGAGGGAGATGGTTCCACAGTTCTGAGCCACAGCACATGCACCTAGGCCCTTAGTTTCCCTGCTTGAGTGCGACTCTGCAAGTGCGAAACAACGCGTTTTGCGTTTCATGTGAACTTACTCAGCTCTTTTCGTGAAGGAAGGAGTACGCGCAAGCCTTGGGCTTGTTGCACACAGCAGCTTCGCAGGAGTCTACATGTATCATCAATGCAGTGTATGTGAGTGTTCCAGCCTACAGCTACCAATGATCGTATGAGCACAAGTTTGGGCTGGCGGCGCCATTTGCCCTGCCCCATCAACGAACCTCGGTCCCGCTGCGTTCTTTTTTGACCAAGGTTCGTTGGCGTTCTTGTTCCTTGCTGTGCCATGCCCCGGCCTCAGTGAGCCTTGAGCCTTCCTTGTTTTGGGGATGTCGTTGCAGTACAGGTTAGTCGTCAAGCGGGCCGCTTGAAGGGCCAGTACTTTCCAGAATGGTACCCGCGCCATGGGAGTGCACAACGCATAATTTGTGGTTTGCCCGAAGAGAAACGGAGAGGGGATGGAGAATTGTCCATTTCCTCCAGATCCTCAGATCCCTTACTTACAGCCCGAGCAAGCATGATGTGAACAAAGCACCAGTGGCGCATGCTTCACTTCTGCCCTTTGCCAGGCTTCGCGACTGATGGCGGAGAAGTGCTAAACGAAATGCTTGGCATGCCTGGCTTGTATTGGAAGATCTTCGATTCGTGTTTTTCCAGATGCCGGCCTGATATTTATGTTTGAGGGGTCTCATCACAGTTGCGCTCGCTTGAGTATGTAGTTTGAAAGCCCGGAAAGAGGCGGGAGCAGAACACCAAGGCCGCCAAGATGTTAGGGATCGTCTCCCCCTCCACACGCTCCCATCAGTGTGCTTTGTTTTTGGGCGGTGTGCAATGGGTCATCAAGGCTGTGTGTTTGGCACTGCTTCTGTTCACAGCCTTACCGTACCCAGCTTCAGCTGCTGAGTTCAGGGGAAGGGAGGCAATGAGGCAAGGCAAGAAGACGAGCAAGCTGGGCAGGCCAGGCAAGGCCGAGCAGGGCAAAGCAGGCAGACCTTTGCGGTGGATGATGCACAAACCGTTGGTCTTGATGTGCACTATGGTTGATAGAAGTAGCCAGCATTCACCCTGATTTGCAAGGCTCCTCCCTACTTGCTGGTGGGGTTTCCTGCCTGGTTAAGATACCTCCCTTCTGGGGCAACCGCTCGATTGATGCGGGTAAGGGGTCAGCATTATGCCTGGTTTCAGCCCAATGTGAACATGCCCTCAAAGCAGGGCAGCTCCCTTTTGAGTAGGCCATAGCCCTGCGTGTCGAGTCTGCCTGGTATCCTCGCAAGACTGGGGCCGCAATCCGTACATTGAGTGATGAGAACACTCTGGAACCCTTAAGCAAAACGCTGCCTGTTTAGAATTTGCTGCCAGCAAGGTGTTGTTTTCCTTTCGTGCTAGTAGTAGCTTGCGCACTGTACTTGCTACACAGTGCTAGAAAAAGGTAGTGGAAGTGACTCCACGTTTTCCCTTTAGCCAGTAGAACTGTGCACGGCTTGAGCAAGGGTGTAATGTTTTGACACAAGTGCAAGGCTGGGTATTTTTATCAGGACAACCAAATACGCATCACGTGAATTCCACGGATTGCTGGGCCCTTGAGCCTAAACGGTGCCTCGATTTCGGAAGCATCACGGAATGTGAATCCAGCATTCAGCCACACTGAGCTGGCTATGAAAGTTTCGAACGGTTTTTATTGAAGAACCGAGGAGCCACCTCAAAAATGGTTTGCGGGACCTGAATCCCCGCCTAAACTTGGCCACCAAAGGGTGCCTAAATCAACATCCATGAATTGGATGCTCCATAGTTTGGAAATTGTGTAAGCTGAACGTTGACTTTTACTCGGATGCATCTGGGTGGTCAGTTGGATTGCAAGAAGATTTGGTCCTTGTAGCTCCCGTGTGTTTCTTTTGCCCATGCTGCATGCTGTCGCGTCAGGTGCGGCACCAGAGCAGTGCCCCCAGACTCGAGAGTGGGCCCTTCAAGGGCCCCCGGAAATCAATGGCTATGAACTTTGATTGAGAATTCGCAAAGTGGTGGACCCTAAATGATTCCCCCAAAGGCTCCTTATTGAGAATCACACCAATTATATATGTATGTATATATATATATATGCTATCCCCCCCCCCAAAGATCGACCATTTTCTGTGTTTTGAGAAAGATGCGGTGCATTATTGCAAGAAACAGATGTGCATATGCTGGGGTCGACATTCAAGTGCAGTGTTGCTGAGGACGGTTGCAAAATTGCGCACCTGCCAGGGCTGCAACACTGCAAGGCTTTGCAAAACTGCAGCCCCTGGCAACCTGAAGTTTCAATACTTCAAGAGTTTCCAAGACACTGCCCAAGCAAAGCTGCCAAACTACAGACCTGGCAAAGCAAGTCTGCTAAACTGCAGGCACTGCAGGCCTTGGTTGCAAAACAGACTTGGCAGGGCTTCAGCTCCAACACTGCAAGGCTTTGCAAAACTGCAACCCCTACCAACCTGCCAAAGCACTGCCCAAGCAAAGGTGCCAAACTACAGACCTGGCAAGGTTGCAAAATTGCCAACCTGCAAGGTTCCAACACTGTAGGGCCAGCTCCAGCACTGCAAGACTTTCCAAGCAAGTCTGCTAAACTGCGGGGCCCTGGCAAGGTTGCAAAATTGCCAACCTGCAAGGGCTCCAACACTGCAGGGTTGCAAAACTACAGCCCTTGCCAACCTTGCCAACCTGCCAAAGTTTCAACACTGCAGGCTTCCCACTTGCTGCAAGGTCTGCCAAACTACAAATAAGGCTGCAAAATCCAAACTGCAAGGCTCCAACACTGCAGGCACACCCAACTGCAAGGCTTTTCAAGCCTGCCAAGCAGTCTGCTAAACTGCAGAGCAAGGTTGCAAACTACAACCTCTTGCCAACTCAACACTGCAAGACTTCCCAAGCAAGGCTGCCAAACTGGAGGTTGCAAAATTGCCAATCCAATCTGCAACCAACTGCACCAACACTGAACTACAGACAAGCGAGTTCAAACAGAAGTTCCAACACAAGCCTGTTTGCAAAACAAACTTGGGAGCTCTGTCTGCCAAAGCTCCCACACTGCAAGGAAGGCTTGAAACTTGGTTGCTGGCCCAGCAGAACATTCCACAATTTCCAGCAAGGCTGCCAATCTGCAGGGCAAGGCTGCAAAAAACTGTAACCTGCCAAGTTTCAATACCCTGGCAAGGGTTCTTGCCACCTGCTACAAGACTTCCACCACCAAACTGGCACTTCCAGCACACTGCCCAAGCAAGCTGCCAAACTGGGTTCCAGCTCAAAACTGCAACCCACTTGGCAAGAGTTGAACACTAAGGCCACTGCAAGACTTGAGCGCCTCACCTGCCAAAGTTTCAACACTGCAGGCTTCCCTGCTGCCCTGGCAAGGCTGCCAAACTACAGGCAAGCAAGGCATTTCCAACAAGAGTTCCAACACTGCAGGCCTTGGTTGCAATACAGACTTGGCAGGGCTGCAAAACTGCAGCTCTGTACGCCAAAGCTCCAACACTGCAAGGAAGATGCTCAGGGGCGAAGGGCAAGAAACCCATGAAGCTGCAAAAACCTCGAAGAAATCAAAAAAATCAAAAAATCAGGGTCCTGGGAGAGAATGCCCAGGTCAGAATCTGGAAAAGTGAAAAACCTCGAGAAAATCAAAAAATCAATAAAATCAAACAAATCAAAAAATCAAGGCCTTGAGAGAGATAGTCACTGGGTCTGGGCATTCTGTTCCAGAACCTTGATTTTTTTTGATTTTTTTGATTTCTTCCAGGTTTATTCACTTTCCGAGATTCTGACCTGGGCATTCTCTCCCAGGACCCTGTTTTTTTTTGATTTTTTGTTGTTTTTTGATTTCTGTGGTTTTTTCAACATGTTCATCCTGTGCAGCCAAAAGGCAGATGCAAGATGAAGTTGGGAAGCCAGAAGCCCGAGACCTTGCAGATTCTGGGATGTGTCACCAGAGATAAAACACAGAAAATGGTCGATCTTTGGGGGGGGGGTACCATATATATATATATACATATATTATATTTATATCCTGACTGCTGCAGCTTGCTTAGATTCTTGAACAACTGCACGTGTTCCCACTTTAGCAAAACATACACTTCTCGCGTTGTGGGGGCAATAGCCGCCAAGACATGGAAAGAGACCGCGGCAACCCTTGCTTCCTACGTCCAACAAGTACGGCATCAGCGGTATTCAGGCGAGTTTGCGTGGATTGGCAGCACGCGGGGTGAATGTATGAGGTTTGTGAAAGCAGACAGCGTGGAGGGGTGGCATTTTCAGAGGGATGAATTTGTGGAATGCCGCAACCATTGCCTGAAGAGTAGCTTCCCTCTTCAATCTTTGGATAGGTCCCCGCATTTGCTTGATATTTGCTTGGTGAGCGTATCGAAGCAGCACTATTTGCACTGCCGGAACTCCATTATGCGCTCGAACTGGTTTGGAAGTTTCATCCGTCCGACAGATTGATAAACGCTGTGGAGAGAGCTGCCTAGAGCACCTGAGGACAGAGGCCCGTGGGGGAATTTTACCCCTCAACAGATCCATTGCCACAGGACATGTTGGGACCCTTCCCGGAATGGTGGTCACAGGTTTGGGGAAGTTGTGTTTCAAATTTGACCTTGGGGCCCTGTAATTAAACGGAACCAGAAGAGTGTGTTCAAACAACAGTGTTTAAGCCGTAGTTTTCACTACCTAATTATCTCAAACCGTAGCTGATAGTGGACAGCCCGCGTTTTTACAAGGGGCAGGCGAAGCCTCGCTTCCAGATAGCCCAGGGCGGACCCTGTGTGGGTGGATCCCGCTCTTCCCACGCCGCCTCCGCCAATCATCTCTCCGAACAAGCCTGTGCTCGCCCAAGCAGTTTGAGAGCGGTCTGTTTTTTGCAGACGTGATTCGGTCAGGGAAGAACAATGTGTGTGTGTGGGTGGGTGCGGGTATGAGTGTCAGTGTGGGCATGTGTGTGTGTGAGTGTGTGTTTCCAGCGAGATCCGTTTGGGTGACGTCTCAAGGGGAAGAAAGAGGGTGGAAATTTCCAGCGCTGGTCAAAGTCTGGCTTGTTTTTTGGCCTAGTTGAGTTGCAGGATCTTCATGTTTATTCCTCAATATCAAGATCCAAAGGCGACTTTCTTTGGAGTGACTTTGAGGATTGACATTTAGTTGCAACCCTGCTCCCCTCCGAAAAGGTGTCCTATGAAAGGGGCGTGAGTTTTGCCAGCCCAGGCCCACTTAGGTGGCTCGGCACTTTCCTTGAGGGTGTCGCATTTGGCGGACTTATGAGAAATCGGAAGCCTTGTCCCTTGAAAGCGAATTTACCACACATACTTGGACACTTGTCTCAAGGAACCCTGACAAGGGTTTGGAGCCCTCACTTTCGAGGCGCCAGAGTCAGCAACGTTTGCCTGATGTGCGCGTAGGTGCCCCTCACGTATAGTTCTTCAGTGGTGTTCACCCTCTACAGCTTTTTTGGTTCCTTTTTTACCAAAACTGATCAACCCCAAAAGTAGGGATCTCTTTGTTCGGGACACTGAGCAACAGCATGTACATGAACATGTAGTGGAGTCCAAGGAATTGGATGGTGTCCCATGTGTTGCATTGGCTTACATCGTTGGGGAACTGCCTTGCCTCAAGCTTTCCACAACTTCCAACTATGGGGCAGCCCAATTTCTGCACATCTGAGCAGCGCTCGAGATGCCACCTTACGTTGGAGCACTTTCAAGCATGAGGCGCATCCTTTCCGTTGGCTCATGACAGTCGTAAAATGCCCAAGGCCAGAAAAATAACAAAGCAATAGCATTTTCCACAACGAGGACCCCCTTTCAAGCACAGCTCAAAAGGCGAATCAAGCGGCAGTGGCCACAAGTGTCAGAAGTGGCCCAGGGATGCGCAGTGGACCTGACCTCTGCGATCTACTCACTGTCATTGATCGCCCGCTACATCACGTGCCCTCTCTCTGATTCGATTCGAAACTCTATTTGCAACCTTTGGATGTGTTCCCAGCTGAACTTGTCGTAAGAGAGTCCCGAGTCACTTTGATCCCAGCAGAGCAGGCACCCCAAGAGCTCTGCCAATGCATCGATTCAGGCCTTGAGTGGCTGAGTCGCAACCGACGCCAGCGCAAAACTTAGAGACGCAAACCAGCGCTGAGCAACCAACTCATACGAACGTTAGCCAACCATCAGCTTCCTTCCATTTGCTTAAGACTACTGTCTATTTTCCCCGGTTGGGTTTACAGGGAATCTATCTCTGCCAGCAAACTCAAGCACATGTGGGTTAGCGAACGGTGAGCGAACCGAGATCAAGGCCATGGGTAGACATGTGGTTTGATTTCCGTTTGCAGCTAAGTCTCTACCCCAAAGTGGGTTCCAAACGGCATAGCTGATTCAGAGCGAGGGAAGCTATTGTATGAGTGACAAGGGGCCTTTATGGAACAGCAAGGGCCACAACTCAACGGGCCCTATCTCTGAATCAGTCTTGGATTATCCAATGCTGACGCAATGGTGAGGCATATGGCCAGTGGCTTTACACAAGCCGTCCAAAACAACCCATAGATTGCCGCCTTGACTCAAATTGGTTCCTCTTACACTAGGTTTGCGCCAGCTACAACTTCACCTGTCCGAGCCGATTTAGAGGATCCCCCGGTAAAGTGGATGCATTTGGATGATGAGGCACACATTCTTTGCAAGAACCCACAAAGGCAGGGGATCACTGGAAGTAAAGCAATTGTTTGACAAAGGGGCAAGCCTTTCTGGTTCATTAACTGTTGGTTTGGATTTGTGGCTTGGGGTTTTGAACCTCACTTCCTTTTGAAGCGAAATGGGGAAGGTACCCCATAACCGCGGGACCATCTATCCAAACCACCAATTCGTGGGAAGCTGCACGCTTGGTGCTGATTGCCTGGCGATGTTGACATGTGCCGGTGGGCGCCAGCCATGTCCCAGGTACAGCACAACAGACTGTCAGCAGCCAGGTGGGAATTGGTTCTCGGGAATGGTGAAGCGCTTCTTTATGCTTGGGGTTTGCAAACAGTCGGGTACCACGGAATGGCTCAGCCATTCTGGTGATTTTACTTTTTTGGGAATTTTAAACGGCTTTGCAACATTGCTTGGTTGGGAGGAATCGTCATTTGACGTCATTTACCTGTTAGGGCAATCATGGAAGATTAATTTGGTCCCTCAAAATTCTCTCCCCCCCTCAGGAAACCAGTTCCAATTGAATCATCTATTGGGGCCAAGGGTTCCTGGGTGATTATGTATTCCAGGGCTTCCTATGAAGGGTAGCTTGATGGACGAGTTGCTCTCTATTAATTGGCTTGGGCCACGCACTACTACGAAAGCATACTTGTTTGGGCGGATTGCGACAGCCTCGCACTCGTCAATTGCAAACGCAGTGTGTTGTTGGTCACTGACCGGAACCATAGTCTTCAAACAGATTTGCTCAAAAATGGCAGTGTTTTCGATCAACAATCCTCTTGCAGAATCCCAGGCTGCATTTTGTTGAGTTTGACTGTTCTCTTCAAGGCTTTTGGTCTGCCCCAAACCGACCACTCCGGGAATATGGACCATTCACGGGGTGGGATCCCTTGACTTTCGGAACGAGGAACCGGCACGGAATATCATAGAATGTCGGAGCGGGTACCTTTTTTCCACAATCATGGACCTCCTTTTTGGGTGGTTAGAAGGAATCAAATAATAGAACCACAACTGTAGGGGGCTCGCTATTTTAAGAGACACCCATCAGGAGCCTTTTGGAGGTCTTCCAATGCCAACGTACGTTCCACTTCCATCGGTTTGTGTGGCTGTATGTGCCAAAAGGGAACCCTGAACAAGGGGGGCAGGGTCCCTTGAGTGTCCATGTACATCGACAGCAAGGGTAGCAGAGTTCCCTCAAAATAACGCCACCCGCAAGGCCAAACTTCCACAACCTGTGCGGACGACGTCGCCAACACGGTGCCGCCTGACCGCTTTCGTCCTGATGCAAGACTAACAAATATTCCCAACACAAATTGAGTGAGGGGGGGTGCTGGTGCTCACTTGAGGCCTCGGATGTGGTTTGGCCCCAAAGGGGACTCGTGCTTGACGTGGAAATATCGAGAGCTTGATGACCTGTAAGCCGAAAGCCCTGTGCCTGAGGAAGCAAGTTGGGTGGACCGTCAGCTGGCTCGCCGACGGCGTGCTTGGGGCCTGAGAATATGACCTCCGTGCTGTTTTTTGTTCTTCCCCCTTTGAATTGAGATTCCGACCCCGGAGAGACGTCCATGAGCTTTGTTTTACCAGGCTAAAACAACGGAGTTGCGCACAGGTCGCGGGATCTTAGTTTCCTGAATCGCTTTTGAGCGGCACCTTTCCCCGCCAACCAGCAACCTTCCATGGCGGACAAAGATTGACCCGGGCTTTATTTCCCTCTGAATTGGACGCGCAGCGAAACAGGTTGGCGGTTCCTGCCATGGAAATTGGCATGGGTCCAAATGTTTGACACCAAAGGCAGAGCACGCGTCTTGGTGTTTCGGACACTGACACGTGCAATTGGGCACATGATCCCATTGACCTGTCCCATCTGAAACTAGGGATCAGGTCGTTTTAGGGAGGTTGCTGATGAGAGATCAAGTTCCCAATACGAATGGGTTCATGGAAGATAGGTACGGGCACAATAGCTAAGAGTGTATGAAAGTAGTAGTATAGCGCATGACTACCATTACAGAAACTGAAGCCTATAGTCGCAAGAGTGGAGGTACCTCTGAAAAGCGTTCGGTCTCGGCGCGGGTTTCATGCAAACCGCAATGGCACGGCAAATTTGCAGAACGCAATGGCACGAAAAAAAGAGAGAGAACCCCCTTCGGTATTGTGCGGACTTGGCACGGGGCTTTGAGCTCCCCTCACTGGCACAGCAAGACATAGCGCTCAACTTTGACATGCAAGATGATAGTCTGTTTGCAAAGTGTACTTTCGCAGCTCCGGCACAATTGGTTTCTTTTTCATCAAAAGCAGTACGCAAAGGATGTTTTCATAGCTCCCGCCCAAAAATCAGTCCGACAGTGGTGCATGCAGCGCGCTTTCGCAGCTCCGCTCGAAAATCACAACTTGTCAGATCAAAAAATGCTTTTTTGAGTACGAAAGAAGTAGGTGAAGTACGCTTTAGCGAGGGGATTCGTGGGTTTGCTTGATACATTGTTTCACCGGATCCCTTTTGTAGGTCTGAGTGTGTCACTGCTTTGGAGACTTTTGCCCCCCAGCTCCGCTGGCTCTAGTAGTTTTATTTTGGTTGGGCTCTATCAGCTCAGAGCCTGTAGGGGAAGGCATGTCTGCCCGGGGGCTCCTGCCATACTCGAGCTGCGGATGAGCTTTGGTTGGGAAATGGACGCTACTGAATCGCTAAGGTATACCGAGGTGTGATCCCATGGCTCAAAGGTCGCGGCCGAAGGTCTTCGGATGATGGTCTCACAGAACTATGAATAATGTGGAGTGTCTTAGGATATTTTCTGGGCCTGCGGCCTCTAGCCGGCTACGCCTCTTTGAAGTTATACCATGTCATGTCATGTTTTTTGTATGAGAAACGTATCCTGTGCTATGATATGGCTGGTTAGGTTATGCATGTTGCCCACCCCAACCCCAGATGATGCCGGGGATGCCAGCTTTCTGGGCCCTAGCCGGGACCCAAACCAGAAGGCTCACATGGGGTCGCGCGCGCGCGCGCGCCAGAGGCCGCAGAAACACCAGCCCAAAAAGAACAGCCCGCAAGCCAGCCCGGAAACGCGAAAGCAACAAAACACCGTAAATAGCAGCGTTTTGTGGCTGGGGTCGCGCGCGCGCGCCAAAAGGCCCGAAAACTAACGCGAAAAAACCAAGGACCGCGCAGCACGCGAGCCAGCCACAGCAAAAGCAAAACGGACAGAACAACAGCCCACCGCTCAGCACAGCAGTTTTTGACGGCATTTACAGCGTTTTGTAGAGCGAGGGGCCAGCATCGCCGGCATTCCCGGCAGCGCTTGGCGCCAAAATGCGCGAAAATGAGCCTCGCTTATATCCCTCCGATACCTTCTAAAAAACAGTGCTTTTTGGGTTGAGAGGCTTTTTGGAAGGAAGTCTGGATGATGCAGACCAAGCCCCGCTGAAGCATCACCCAGGCCCAACCCCAGACCCTGATGATGTCAGCCACATGGCCTAAACCCTGCATATACGCGATGTTTTGCGAGGGCTTCTGCAGAGGTGCCGGATTTAGGCAGCGCATCACGACCAAGTGGCGGGGGTCGGCGGCACCAGGGTGCACCCCCTATAGCTAAAGCTAGCAGGCTAATTGCCTAGCGGCGACATGCTACCCCAAGGAGGCGTAGCCGGATTAACCAGGCTCCCGCCTGCTGCCGCCGACCCTCGGCGCATTAAGGGAAAAGTCATAAGGACCGGTCCTGAAACACGTCCGCAAACCCAGGGACCACTACGACCACAAACAAGGGTTAACGGAAAAGTGAGAAATATGGCAGCTAGTCCGTTAATTACCGCTCGGGCCGGCTTGTGCCCAAGTCACTTCGAGCTGGCCCGGGAGCAGTCGCCTCTTTTGGGGGAGTTGCCCTGGACCGGTCGCCGGCAGGGACCGGGACTTGGGACCCTGTCCAGGCCGGTCCCAGTCTGGCGCGGTTTGACTCGACTGCACTCTCTTGCAGAATAGATCCAGGGATCCTCTACGACTCTACGACCACAAGGACTAACGGAAAAGTCAGACAGATCCGTGAATGACCGCACGGGCCGGTTTGCGCCCAAGTTACGTTGAGCTGGTCCTAGAAACAAGGCCGTTGGTGCCCCTCCACCGGTTGCAGGGAGTGACTGGGACTTGGGACCCTGTCCGGTCGTCCGGAAACTCCCAGGACTGGTCCCAGGACCGGTCCTGGGACCGGTCACTTTTTGTGCTTTCGGGCGTGTCCCAAAGACCATCATGGATTCCAATCACTTCCAGTTGCAACCCACGCCGGTCCCCTCTGCAGGAGGCTGGGACGGGAGGCAGAGGGTCGGCGGCTTATGAAGAGGCTAGGTACATGCAGCAGCTTTCGTATTTCTCGGAGTAGGGCGGGCCGTTTGAACCCACGAAGCAGATCCGATCTGAAGTTCTGGGTGGTCAGAGCGGAAGCCAGAATGATTGGCGTCCGTTACCTTTTGATTCCTGTCTTAAACAAATAAAAAGAGGTACCATCCAAAACACGCAACATATGCAAACGACACACACGCACAAACATCTGAAAATGAAGCAAGTCAACACGCACACAAACACAAACACACAAAGTTACAAACACACACACACAAACAAACATATAGAGCGAGAGAGGGAGAAATAGCGACACAGAGACACAGACACAGAGGCACACACACATACACACTGCACACAGAGACACAGGCACACAGCACACGCCCCGCACGCACAACACACACGCACTACACACGCACAATCACAAAACAACACACAAACGCATCACAAGAGAAGAAGCATGAAACAAAAAGGACACAACAGGTGACACAAACACAAAACACAAAGCGCAACACACACACAGCAAACACACAAATGCAAAACCCACCGCACACACACAAAACACAACCTAAAACACACAACACCAACCACACAACACAAAATATGAAGCACAACATATGAAGCACAAAGCAGGCATCACATTTTGTTGTTGTAAACAAATACCGCAAAACACAAGACACGCAACATGCGTGACAGACAAAACACACGCACGGGCACAACACGCACACACACACACACAACACCAGCATATGGACTGATCAGGAAGACTTGTCAAATCGAAGGGTGCTTCAAGGACTTGCATCCAGGACCCGGAGTGATCAATAGTCACGGGCCCTGGGTCTTCTTTAGCGTCCAGCGGGACACGAGTCTAACGTTTAGATGCCCCAACTATGGATTCCAAGCCTTGCACATCAAACACAATCCGCAGATTGAGGTTTACCTGCGGCAACGTGGATGGTTCCTGCGCGCAGACGGTCCTGCTGGCGCATTTTCTCTCAGCCACATCCAAAGACCAGGGGCAGATGACATGGCACAACCGCCGTAATGACCCCTTTCAAGAACTCGACCGGTTGTTTGGACCCCAGATATGCTACCGCGGTGAAGCCTGACGACAATTGAGACACCAAGCCCAGGGTTCCTTGAAAAGCTTAGAGTCTCCAATATGTTTGACTCTGACGTGGTACAGCGAGAACAATAGTCAATAATGGATGAATTATTGCTGCACATGTTGCCACTAAACTTCACATTCACCCCGCTTTGCCCCATATTCCCACTATAGCCAAACTTTGCCATTTGCTCGAAGTGGCCCAGGATATTCTAACCGAGTTGTTCAGCAGTGTTTCTTGTTCCGCTTTCTTGATGTTCAACAGTGCTTCGTGGTTCCTTTCCAGAAATTTCTGACCAACATGTGCAGTGCGTTTCCTCTTTGTAGTTTTTCTGGTTCGGCAAGCCCATCGCAATAGGGTTAGGCAGCGATTGTGGCGAGAGGGAAGAGTAGCCTTTGTCCCCGGGCCGTGGACCACACATTTGTTTTCGTTTCATTGGGAAGACGTGGGCAGAGTCCGGCCCCCGCTTTTGCTGACTTCATCGTCAAGCGCTTGCGGTTATGTGTAGGGAGGCAACTAAGTTTCTTGCTTCCAAACTTTATATGATGGTTTCCCCGAGGCTACCTATAGCCGATTGTGGCTTGCCAAATCAGACTCATTGGGTACGATCAAAACTGGAGTCTTGGGTACCACTGTGCTCACACCCGGCAGATTGGAGCTGCCGTCGGCCAGTCGTCAGATGCCACTGACAAACTGGCTCCTCGGAGATGGTTCGGTCTTTGGGCCTTTGGGGTGCGAGGGGTCTTTCACGTCCGACATCTGCAGAGTTCTTGCTTGGTATGCACGGACATGGCCACCAGAAGGTCCCTTCAAAGCGATTGTTTCATCACATTTCAAGAGATTGACTGCATGTCAGTGGCAGGAGTCAAACAGTTCAGGCCGCACGTCCAGCTGGATGCTGACCTGACATGGTCAGAACGTTTTGCTCTCCAAACATTTCACGCCTGCATTTGATAAATATCCCTAAATGTGTGATCAGGAATGCCCCTCCAATGTTGTCAGGGATGCCCAAAACGGCGCCCAGTTTGGAGGCCCCAGACGGGGCCCACTTTACAAGGTCCGTGTCCAACGTACTTGATTTTGTGTCCAACCACCCAGTCGATGTGTCACACATAGTCAGGCAGGGTGGCCCCCGCTGGACATATTGTAGCTTCCGTGGCAAGCGTGGGTGTGTGTGTGTAGGAGAGTGCGCGTGTGTTTGTTTGATATGTTTGCAACGCCGTTGTTTGCTTGCTGCGTTGTGTTGTTTTTGCTTGTGTGTTCGTTTGTCTGTCCGTTTGCCTGCCTGCCTGTTTATGTGTGCTTCTGCGTTTGTTTGCTTGTTTGCTTGTTTGCTTGCTTGTTTGCTTGCTTGTTTGCTTGCTTGTTTGCTTGCTTGTTTGCTTGCTTGTTTGCTTGCTTGCTTGTTGTTTTGCCTGCTTGCTCGCTTGTTTATTTGTTTCTTTGCTTGCTTGCTTGCTTGCTTGCTTGCTTGCTTGTTTGTTTCTGCTTGTCGGTTTGTTTCTGCTTGTGCATTTGTCTGTCTGCCTATCTGTCTGTCTGTGTGTCTGCCCGCCCGCCCGCCCGCCCGCCCGCCCGCTGCCTGTTGTCTGTCCGTGTCGTTTTTGTG